CACACACACACACACACACACACACACACACACACACACACACACAGACACACACACACACGTCAGAATTAAAGAGTCGGGTTGAGTCAACGACTTACTTAAAGAGGTTAGTTGTCCTGATAGGAGAAAAATAATTGTGATTTAGTTAAATTCCATGAAAAAAAATAATTTAGTTAAGATGGCTGCAATGGAGATGGAGAGAATTGGACAGGATTCGGGAGTTATTTTGCAGATTGAGGCTCCAGAACTTTCTTTTGGGACAGATATAGGAAGTGAGAGAAAGAAAAATTAGAAGTATGCCTCCTCAGCTTGGCTCTTGAGCAACTGTTTCATGGTTGTGCAACTCAGTGAGACCCAGAGACAAGCAGGGGCCTTGAAAGGTTGAATGGTTGAATGGGGAGGGGTGTGTTAAGAGCCTGTCATTCTTTAAGCTAGAGAGAGAGGGGAGAGAGAGAGAGAGAGAGAGAGAGAGAGAGAGAGAGAGAGACTATAGAAAACTAAAGTACAGGCATCCAGCAAAGAGATGGTCATTCAGTGTCCAGAGATCACAGGGACTTCTTCTGCTCTGGGATTTCTGGATGAGTGAGAGCACCCTGTACTAATTAGAGACAGAAGTAGGAAGACCTCAGTGTGGCCCACACTCCAGCGCCCGGAGACTGAATGGAGAGAAGATTCTGGGAAGAGAGGGTAGGATGGAGCAGTCAATGAAGGAAGAGGAAGCCCAACTCCACCCTCGTAAACCACCCTTGTGAAGTTCCCTTTTCCTCACACATGTGCAAGACACCAGAGATGAGAAAGCCCTGAGCTTGACTACCAGAAGAATCTGCACATAACAGCAGGCAGCTTCCCTGTGAGCAAGCTGGAGACAAGAGACATGATCACCTTTATACACCACCCAGCCAGGAGCTGGAGACAGAGGCCTGGACCGTGTGCAAATTTGCTTCTTATGTTTTACTGGATTAGGGAATATTTTTTTCTAAAGCTTTCATTCTTTTGGCAGCCACATAACAGACATGGAGGGAACCCCACCACCACACACACACACCTACTCTGTGGCTTTCTCTTCCCTTTTTTTGGAAATTGGATTTTAGGACATCAGTTTGCCATTCTTAATTTCAATGTTGACAACTTTGATGTGAATGAGAAATTTTTAAAGACATAGTTTGATTATGGACAAGAATTTTTAAAACTTACTTGGTACATTAGGAATTTAATGTTAATAAGATTCTTGTAATGGGTGCCCACAGAGGCAGAGAAGGGTGACAGATACCTTGGGACTGGAGTTGCAGGTGGTTGTGAACTTCCAAGAGGGTGCTGGGAATTGAACCTGGGTCTTCTGGAAGAGCAACTAGCTCTTAAGCACTAATTCATCTCTTCAGTGTCTAACTCATCATTTAATATGTTTTCAGACGCTAAGTATTTGCCTAAGTGCTTTTGATATATTCCAGTACTCTTTTCTTTTAAATATCCAAATCACTGGTTAAATTCAGGAAGAGTCTCCCTAGGTTGATGAGAAGATTCTAGAGAGCCCCAAACCTGACAGAAACAAAACACAGACAGTGGGGAGCCCACCTGCACTTTTGGATATAATGGGACCTCATAAATACTATTCAGTGGACAGTTACATCAATGAGTGACACTGAAATAAATAGTTAAGTGGGATATTCTGCTGTCACATGCCTTTAATCCCCACATTTGAGAGGCTGAGGCAGGAGGTTTGCCATGAGTACAAGGGCAGTCTAGGCACATAGTGATTTCCAAGATGGAATAGACTTCCTCTTGCTCCCCTGTCCCAGAAAAAAAAAAGAAAGAATGTAGAGGAGCAGAAAAAGATGAATTTGGGACATTAAAGACAGGTTCTGCTCCAAGACTACATATTACACCAAGTTATTCCCTTTGCAACCTCCAAGTGAAAGCAAGGGTTTGCTGGGGGAGCACAAAGGGTTAGGCACCAGCTCTGTGTCTGGAGGCAATAGCTTGATGCTCTCGTGCTCTGTATAAATGAAATGGTACTTAACCTTGCTGTCTTCCATCCTGACCGAGTTCTGTACGTGGTACTTGACCGGGTTCTGTGTAGTGTTGTATTATATACCCACATGGATGTGCGCACACACACATGTGTATGAGTGTGTGTTTGGGGGGGTTATAGGGGTCAGAGCTCAACTGACACTTCCCTGACACTCTCTGTATTTCTTTCTGAGACAGGGTCTCATTCACCCAAGCACTTGTTGATTCCTGAGAGATCCAGGGATCTGCCTGTATCTGTTTCCCTGATGCTAGAGTTGCAGGCCACCATGCCTAGCTTTGTATGTAGGTGCTGGGGATCTGAAACCCAGGTCCTGGTGCTTGAGTGGCAATCAATTTACCAAACTACTTCTTTTTATTCGCTTGGTTTTTGTTAGGTTGGTTTCTAAAACATTTCAAATAACCTAGACTGGCCTCAAACTCACTGTGTAACTGAGGCTTCCCTTGAATTCCAGATCTTTCTGTTTCTGCACCACAAGTGCTAGGGTCCAGGGTACATGCTGCTCTGAGTGGATTTGGATTATGTTTTTTTAGAAGAGAAAAAAGTAAAACCTAGCTTTATCCAGTACTGCCCCCACCATGCACACTTGCTCCCAAGGACCCGATTTTAAGCTGGTGCAAATCACTGCAGGCCTCAAACCTGACTCACAGTCTGTCAGCAGTGAAGGGTGTGAGTGGAGATGAAGTTTCATCTGTGCCTTTTCCTAAGAAGAGAAGTGAGACAGAGCCCTGACTGGAGGAGTGGCTAATGCTTGCCAGTGAAAAGGAGACCCTGACATACTCTGTGGTTTTCACTTGTCCAAAGCTGACTCAGCTCTCTTCCCCTGTAGCTCTCTCGCCCAAACTTGTCACTTTCTCACTGAAAAATAACTTTCTAGTTAGACTCAGGCCACCTGCAATGATTCCTGTTTTTAAATACATGTTTCTTTACCATGCCATAATTAAGGAAGTCCAAACCTGACTAGAAAGAGCTGAAAGGGATCAACAGTTTCACAGGACACTGAAGCTCTGTGAAAATCCAGATTCAGGAGAGTGGGGCAGGAAGTGTAAAGAAATCCAGCTAACAGCAGAGGAAGATCTGCTGCAGAGACCTGGCTATCTGAAAGGCAGCTGTGGATGGGTGAGCACGCTGCTGGCTCAGCCCAGAGCGGGGAGGTTCAGTATGTCCAGGCCAGCGATGTCAAGGATGGCTGTCAGCAGATAACAAGGGCCCAGCTTCAGACCAGGGGTGCAACTCAGCTGTTTACATAGGAGAGGATTGAGAAAGAAAGACCACAGCATCACAACACGGCATCACAACACGGCATCACAACATGGCATCACAACACGGCATCACAACATGGCATCATAACACGGCATCACAACATAGCATCACAACACGGCATCATAACTGAACATCACAACACAGCAGTTGCCACCCAGCACAGCATCCACAATGCAGAATCCATAACAGCATCCATAATACAGTAGCCTGAGTAGAGAAGAAGAAATTCACAAGTGTGTAGACAACTTTACAGAACGGAGAGGACCAAGCCAACTACGCCTGTGACTCAATTACTAGAAAGGAACAGAAAGTGGCCCAGATAGCATGATGTGGGACTCTTGACTAACGGACTAATTTATTGATCAAGATAAAAAGTCTACGATAAAACTTTTCTCTCTGATATGTTATTAGGCATCTGTTTCCCTTCCATCATCTGTTTCCAAAAACAAAAATCATGTTATCTTTTTAGTTTTCTCTCTCTTAATTTTTACTAAAGATGGAAGAATCCAATCATCTGTCCCAAGATGAGAATCTGAAGAAAGGAAGACAGGTTGAGGCTAAGGCCCAAACTTCATCTCATTAGGAGAGAGACCCCTCCCCATTTTTTCTTTCTTCTTCATCCTTTTTTTCTTCTGTGTCCCACCCAAGAAGTTATGTGTTGTCAGGACAATGCTAACTCCAGGGTGGATGACACAGAAACTATTAATAGACTTTGGTTATAAAGCTGAACTAGAAAAGAGAAGTGTCCAAAGGGAGAAGTTGGAAACACAGTGGGTCCAGAGAGAAAGCATTCTGCCTGTGGTTGTGGCTGACAGGCTTGTGGACAGGCTTATTACTCAAAGGCAAAATAAAACCCAGGTTTTTATCCACTGACCTGTGAGTCCTCTGGACACCCACCCATTTACTACTAAATGAAGATTTTATATCTACAAAATTTCATTTCTTAAAAACATTTGCTCTTCCCTCAGAACCAGCCCCTCCGAAGTCACTCTTTGCAGTGAACAAAACACAGACGTCGGTGACCCTGCTGTGGGTGGAGGAGGGTGTTGCTGATTTTTTCGAAGTCCTCTGTCAACAGCTCGGCTCCAGCCATGACGCCAAACTCCAGGTACTGATTGCCTAGACTTTCCTTCTGAGTTACTTTTTCTTTTTCAGGATTTCTCTGTACAACAGTCCTGACTGTCCTAGAACTCGCTCTGTAGACCAGACTGGCCTCAAACTCACAGAGATCCGCCTGTCTCTGCCTCCCTAGTGTGGGATTAAAGGCATGCGCCACCACTGCCCGGCCTCAGTTACTTTTGATTAAGGCTAATAAAGCAAACTAAAAACTTTCTATTTCATGGAACTACAAGAAGTAAAAACTGTCTGCTTGCTCATTTGGGCTTTATAGATAGAAGTTAACAGTATCTGTGGGATGTACGCATGAGGACCTTGACACCTACAGTATATTTACTTTAACAGGAACCAGTTGCCCAGTTTTTGAAAGGTATTCTAGAGAATGCAAATAGCAGAATCAACACTTGCCTTTGATTTTTTCTTTTAATTATTTGTAAATCTTTTTATTAATTTTTAAGTTTATCTTAAACTTAAAAAAGACACTACAAAAAAAGGCATCATTTCAGGTATTGTGCAAGTGCAGAAATAAGTGAAATATAACTTCCCCAGCATAGAGTCATATTACCAAAATAATTCAAAAGAACAAAATTTGAGGCATGATTATTGTTAAAGGTTTGGGATCATACACAGAAGAAATGATAGACTAGCTCATTGTTCTCCAGGTCATGGTGAAGGGCAGGATATGTGGACGCTCAGCTCTGAGAGTAACTAAGTCACAAAAGAAAAGAGAGAGAAAGATACTTTACAGCCAGAGGAGGGAGGAAAAGGAGTTTATACACTGCAGGGGGGAGAGTGAGTCTTCCAGCATGAATAATTGATGCTCTTTCAATAAGTGGAGGCCTTGTGCCTGAGAGGGAAGGACGGGAAGGCTGGGAGAGCAAACCTTTTCAGACTGATTGCTGAGATAATACACTTTGATTTCCCTGCCCCTTTGATAGACGCATCTACAAATTTCTCTCTTTTGATCTGCACTGAGAGGCTGAGTCCTGTCTCGGTTGTGAGAATGCTTTTGGAAAATAACTGTCCTGCCATGGATGGATTGTTCTCCTCCCTAACTATAGTGATGTCTTCCACTAGAAACACGATGGTTGGTCAGCTACCTGCTGCCATTTAGTCCTGTCAGCAAAAGTCTCTCTCTGCTTGCTGTAATTCCTTTCTGGACAAGGTGGTGACTGGGGTGGGAAATCAGTGCCATTGGCTGCCATCTTGTTAGCCGGAGTGTTTCGGGACCTTCTTTTGAAAAAGAGTGTCATGCTAGTTCATTGTATATATTGTGTAGTGTGTGTGTGTGTGTGTGTGTGTGTGTGTGTGTGTGTGTGGCCATGGATCCACCAAATGAGCAATTTCTTCTTGTTAAAATGAGATAATTTTGCTTCCAAGCACCGTCTATCACCATGCGTGGGGTGGGTGTGATATAAAACAAAGAATGCAAACAGTTTGGGTTCTTAATATAGAGAGAATGACTACCAGTAAAAGAAGATAAAGAGCAACACCCCTAAGCAAACACATAGGAAATCAAGAACAGAGAGGCCTTCAACATAGGAAAACTTGAAAACCTTCATGATAAGAACTGCAGAATAAAACTACCAGACACAATGTTCATAGGAAAAGCCTATGGACAACTATGCCACATTAGAAAGAAATCGGGGCAACAGGCCTCACCAAGCAGCAGTGGTGAGCAGGTAAACTGGTCTGTGACAAATGGATTTTCAATAATTTTCAGCATTAGAAAGGCTTGGTTTGTGACTGAGTATCGTGCTGGAAATGTATGATTACATATATGTATATACTTTCACATACAGTGTGTGTGTGTGTGTGTGTGTGTGTGTGTGCCCGCGCGCGCGCGCGCATGCGAACATCCATAAATAATGCTTTAGTTTTTCCTGTAGCTGTGATAAAAAGCTACAGGAAAAACTAATACCCCAACAAAAGCAACTTGCAGGAGATGGAGTCTCTTCTAGCCCGAAGTTTCGGGGTGCAGTGGTTCACGGTGGGGAAGTCCTGGCAGCAGAAGCTGGAGCCAGATGGTCACGTTGCATCTGCAATTCAGAAGCAAAGAACCATGGTGTCTTTGTTCAGATAGCTTCTTCCTCTAAATGCAGTCCAGTCCGGGATCCAGGCTCAGAGGATGGTGTTACCCTCCCTGGGTTGAGGCTTCTCACTGCAATTAGCCTGATCACAATAACCTCTCCTGGGCACTCCCAGAGGGTGACCTAATGTAAACAATCCCTGGCCTCATACACGGTTCCTGGTTCTGTCAGGATGATGATCACTATTAACCATTACACATATATAAATGCACTGTGACTACACATCCGTTCCTATGTTTGCAAGATGCTGTTTACTTAGCATTGCTCTCAATAGCACACACACACAAATCAACAAGCCACTTGAACCTTCATCAATAGGTTGATCAGGTCAAGTATGAACTTTCATTGAACTTGTGTGAACTCCTTAAAAAATGATAAAACAGGAATGGCTTTGGGGTTAAAAATACCTGCTGCTTGGCCGGGCGTTGGTGGCACACGCCTTTAATCCCAGCACTTGGGAACAAGACAAAAGCACCACAAAAAAAAAAAAAAAAAAAAAAAAAAAAAAAAAAAAAAAAAAAAAACCCTGCTGTTCTTGCATACTTTGCATAGAACTGAGATTTGGGTCCCAGAACCTACATTATTGCTCACAACTGTCACCAAGAGTGGTATGGTACCCTCTTCAGGGCTGAATGCATGTGGTTAACATAAATACAGGAAGACAAACATGCATACACATAGTTTTTAAATCCTTTAATTTAAAAAGCATAAACCAGCTTAATACACACTTATAGCAAGAATGCCAAAAGATACTGATGATTCAAGGAAAATTAAGCAGAGTGGTGTGTAAGCTGCCATCATTATTCGTGACTGTTAACATGGCCTCTATATTCAGATCTTAATCAAATACATAACAAGGAGAAAAATGCCCAGCAACGCTGGCCGCTTCCCCAGAGTGGCGTGGCATGGAAGGGAATAGAGAAAGAAGGAAAGATTTCTCACTATTAACCTTTTCCATCTTTTAATTGCTTTTATTCTACACACAACCTCCCTGGTATGAAAAACAGTTTTAGAAACAAAATAAATGAGGATGGTACAAAATGGATTTCATTTTCTTCACCTGCAGGAACCGATAGCTGTTTCCTCCCATGTTGTCACCATCTCCAGCCTCCTTCCGGCCACGGCCTACAACTGCAGCGTCACCAGCTTCAGCCACGACAGTCCCAGTGTCCCTACATTCATAGCTGTCTCCACAATGGGTAATTGTACAGATGAAGGCAATCCCGTCTTCGGAGGTTTCTACATTTTCTATGCTGTTTCCTCTTAAAAATACAGTTTTCCTTTTGATGGAACCAGCCCTCTACTGAAACATCCCTACCTATGAGTGCAGGGAGCCCTTGACTCCAATCCCAAAGATCATATGACTTAGAAAAAAGATGTATACTGTCTTGAAATCTTTTTAACCTGTAAATGTAGAATAGCAGTATATGAATTTTAGAATTTGGTTATTTGAGTTCTTTCTATTTTATGTTACTGAGCATGATTGTTTTGCCTGCATGGATGTCTGTGCACTATGTACGCACCTGGTTACCCCAGGTGTCAGAAGAGGGCGCCAGATTCCCTGGAACTGGAGATAGAGATGGTTGTAAACCAATATGTAGGTGCTGGGAACCAAACCCATGTTCTCTGAAAAAGCAGTGCTTTTAACTGCTGTGCCATCTTTCCAGCTCCACTTTAGGTTATTTTGAAAATTAGAAGTAAAAATACAGAAATCCCTAGTATATGCTGTAAAAAGGCTAGCAGAATCATCAAGGCCACCATCCTTGGAATCCACAAGAGTGGTACACACACTCCTGCCCAGCTCACTCTCATCTGTATTGGTCCTTGGCTGGTGCTGGTCAAAGAGTAGTTAAAATTCCTGCTTAAAATCAAAGCAAGATTGCTGCTACTTCTACCATGCTAATAGGAAAATTAGTGATTAATGCGGGGTCTGGAATAATGCCGGACTCCTCCTTCTTTTCCTGCATTGTAGTGTGTGCATTGCTCTTGTTAGGAGCTATGGACTATCTGTGAAGACCCTATGAAGATAGCCATGCATAAGAGCACACTGTCCCTGTAATGGATTGTTTTTGTGTCTGTCATTTAGCTGCTGAGTGCAGGGATGAATAGCATGGGCTGTTGCTTTCTTTTGTTCTTAAGTCTTTGCTATTAACTTTTAATTTGTTGGAAGAAGATATGAAAGCAGACATGGGCAGTGTTTTAATTCTGTTTCATCTTACATCTCACAGCACTTTTTCTCCTGGATTTTTGTTTGAGTTTTTTTGTTTGTTTTTTTTTTTTTTTGGTTTTTTGTTTTTGTTTTTGTTTTGTGTGTGTGTGTGTGTGTGTGTGTGTGTGTGTGTGTGTTGCATTGTTTTTGTTTTTAAAGAGCAAAGTTGGTATATGTTCTCACTACATAGTCCTGGCTGGACTGGAACTCATAGGAATCCTCCTCTCTCATTACTTCCTTCAAAAGCTGGAATCACAGTCATGTGGCACAATGCCTGGCTTCTGTGACACTTTTAAAATATACTTCAATGTCTATCAATTCTTGTCCTTTGCCTGGGAACCTAGAGCAATAGGTGGATTATTTTTTTTCCAGTTTACTTACAAGAGAAAACAAGTAAGCTTGGGGAAAACAGAGGAAGTGGCTTCCCAAATAATGTTGACTAGCTGGCTCTTCTTTCTTCTCAGCACTCAGCCACAAACCCGAGCAGAGGTAGCAAGTAGCAAGCACTCAAGGCGCTGAGGATTGGTTCCATGGGGTTTTGAGACAGTTATCGTGTAGCTCAGGCTAGCCTCAAATTTAGAGTCCAAACGGCCCCCAAACTGCTAACCCTCCTACCTCAGCCTCCCAAGTCCTGGGATATAGCTATGCAACCATGCCCATCACATCTGTTGTTTCCTGACCTGCAAAGGAGGACACGGGTCTCCCCTGGCTTGCCATAAAGATATGTATAAAGACATGGAACCTGTTTCCTCGCCTCTGGCATCCTGTTCAGACATGATGAGCTGACGACCATTCATCAGATAAAGCCCATGAGAACAACCTGATTCTTAAGGACTCTCTGACTTATTAATAGGTTTAATCTCTGCATCTGCACAGATGGGAAACCTCTGAGCATATGGCTACAGGTCATCAGATGGCCTGCTTTTGGTAACGTGTAAAATGCTGCCACAGATGGCAGCTCGCTAATGCCCTGCTCCCATACATTATTATCGGAGAGAAAACTGTTCAGCTGTGCTTCCTGACTTTCAGGTTGTGGGCATAAAACAAGAACCTGCCACCTTCGAAGCTCCTGGAATATTAAACAATGGTAATGCATGGTGATGGTTTTAAATTTTCAAATAGTTGCAAGCCGTGGCATTGATACTTTTCACACTGGCAGCTTTTCTTGCTAAGAGCAACCTGCATGCTGGAGGCCTAGGAAACAGACTCAGTTCTCCAAAAACGTAAGGACCATCTGCCCCCAGAGCTCTACTACAAGAAGACAAGGCGATGGTTGTCTTAGCCAAACATGGCTGTGCCCATTATCATCTTCATTATAAACTCCACATTCCTAAGGATAGATGAAAGTCTATGAATGGTTTTGTCAGCCTCCATGTCCTGTAAACTTTAGCAACCTGTGGCTTCTCTCTTTAGTTACCGAGATGAACCCTAACGTGGTGGTGATCTCCGTGCTGGCCATCCTCAGCACCCTTTTAATTGGACTGCTCTTAGTGACACTCATCATTCTCAGAAAGAAGCATCTGCAGATGGCTAGGTAAGAAAAGTGCACTTGTCTGTTTCTCTCTCTCTCTCTCTCTCTGTGTGTGTGTGTGTGTGTGTGTGTGTGTGTGTGTGTGTGTGTGAGTGAGTGATATGGAGATGGAAGCCAGGGCCTTGTGCATTCTAGGCAAGCACTCTACCACTAGAATAAGCATCAAGTCCTTTTCTTTAGACACATTCTCTACTACTTTCTTCACATTGCCAGAATAATCTATCACTTCTCTGAAGACATTACTGCTCATTTGGTAACAACTACATTTGAGAAATTTAGTTCAAATATATAGTTGTACACTAACAACGGCTGAATTACAAATCAGGATCTTCTTAAGTTTGTTTTCTCATCATGATTTAAGCAATGACGTACATGGCATATTAAAAATAAATCATCGATAGTAGCACACACCTTTAATCTCAGTCATTAGGAGGCAGAGACAGGTTGATCTCTGTGAATTTAAGGTCAGTCTTGTCTACATAATGAGTTCCAGGCCAAGTAGGAATATGTAGTGAGATTCTATCCACACAAAGAAAGGAAGAAAAGAGAGAGAGACTTCACGTCCTGGGAAGGGGTGGGGGACTGTAGCCTGCATTGAGTACACAGCATGGCAGTAGCATGGTGTAATATCCAATTCCAAGGAAGCATGCGATAAGCAGCCATGCACAGAGCAATGCAGAGGTCAGCAGTGGAAGAGCAGATGATTTTCGGGTCACGAACACCTTCTGGCAAGGATTGATTGTGAGCAGACCCCGTTTCGAGTCTGCTGCATTACAAGGGGCTGTTTCTTCGTGTTTTATCTTTCTTTGGTTTTTGGTACGGCATGTGGGACTGAATCCTACAAAACATGCATTACCCTTTTTTGTTAATGCTGTCACGATAAGCAGCATAAAGGCTCTCTCAACCTTCATGTCAGGTAAAGAGCTCCATCAAGTAGTGACCTTGATTGTCTCTTTCAAACAGGGAGTGTGGAGCCGGTACCTTTGTCAATTTTGCGTCCCTGGAGAGGGAAGGGAAACTTCCTTACAGTTGGTGAGTATTATTCTGGGACCTGTCTCCAGCTGGCTTAGCAGCCAGTACATGCTCCAAATTTGATTTTATTGTCTTTAAGACATAGATGATTTTATTTTCTGGTTGTCCTTCCTTTATTTCAGGGGGCAATCAATGACTAGATCATCATGGGCCAAAATGGTTTCTGTAAAATGAATACAATTCTTAAGTAGTGGGTAAAGGGACCACACAGTCATGCGAAGGGCCCAAGCTGTTCTGAGCAAGGGCTCCATCATAATAGCTGCAATGAACAAACAGCACTAGGGGGCCCAAGGGGAAACTTGAATAAAGCAACATGGCCAAGTGCCTGGCGACAGAAGCCAATGCTTCCATTCAAACGCTAAGATCTGCAGCCCAAAGCTGTAACTTCTTGTATCAAAGACACAGACAAACTTCAAAATCTTAGGAGTCCCTTGACATTTACAACTGGGTAGGAAGGTCCTAGAGGGAAGAGATGCTTAGGGAATTAGAACAATGTCAAGAGATGAATTTGGTTGCCATCACACTGCACATGGTGTGTAATAAATAGCAATATTGTCCAGCTTAGCATCAGTTCGGAATATACAAGAGAATAACCAATTATGTAAACATTTCCCATGCAACTAGGGCATGTAGTTTCCTGCTACCATCGAAGGGTTTAAATGAACCCACTTTCCCCAAAATGACTAATGTTAAAGAAACAGATCTGAGAGACCAGAAATTTCACCCTACAGGATTATTTAAAAGGTGAAACCTTCCTCTCTGAGTGTGAATGACAACCACTCTGGTTGAAAACAGGGTTGAAATGAGATTCTGTTTGATATAACTATACTTTGGGTCATTTTAAAATTTTAACAAGAATGGAGTTTTTCTATTAAAATATGATCAATCCAGTTATGAAGAAAGAGAATTTCTAATGTCCTTGATGCTGACAATTTCAGAAACATGAGAAGGTTTGTTCAGATATGTTAGGACTATCCTCAAGATTAAGAGACTCACCAGCTCCCATTTCTTCCCTTTAAAACATGGTCCCCAAAACACCGACATGAGGCCCATCTAGAAACTGTCCCAATTGTACCCATGACCCAAGAAAGCTTTGCATTAATGAACTTCATGGTCAATTGCAATTTGTAAGATTTATAGACCAGTCTGGGGAAACTAAAAGAATTCTATAAAATCAAGTTTTATAAAATCAAATAAATTCTCCTGCAACTCGTAGCAAACTTGGTTTGACCAGCAGGAGGGTATTCTGAGGGAGTGTGATTAGCCATCTCAGTGGGGATTTGTTCTAACCAAAGTGACAAGATGACAGTTTCTTCTGGTTTTCACACTAACTATAGATGCATTTCAGGATATTTTGCAGCCCACAGGAATGGATAGTCTGTCTTGGGTGTTGTTTGAATACCTGCAATCAGATTCCAATCAGACACCTTATCTCAATTGGAATTAAAATGCAATTACTTAATGTTTTACTTCCATTCTCATGAGAACCAATGAAAAACCCTGGCCACGGATGAGGTGTTGATGCTGAATGAATGATACCCAAGTAGCATATTGAGTTGGTGCTTTAAAGAATAGCTTTAGAAATTGGATAAGGGTTCCAATTGAAAATACTATAGAAAGTCACGTCAAGTGGTTCATCTTGATAAGGATGTGGTACAGAAGCCTGGTCCTCCCCGAACCCACTTAAGTGACCTGACCATCTATAGCCACTCAGACAAGCTAATGTTCTGCCACCTGGCTTCTTAAATTAGGTTAGATTGGAAGGGGTGATGGCTGAGAATAATGTAGCAGCCAGCTAATGACCCTCTGTGAACTGAATGGATAATGAAATCTCCTAAGAGCAGCTGAAGTGAGTTGAGCAACAATGAGTGGAGAGGAGTTGTCTCTGATTGCGATGAGGACTTGTGTGAATAGAAGCTGATTTGGTCCATAGTGCAGCTTTTAAGCATCCATCGGAAGTCTACAGAGGGGAATGATATTTAACTGTGGTATGGGTTGACCCTGGCAGGTAATTTATTGATGTCTGTTTACAGCCGAATTACTAACCCTTACCACGTTTTCATCTTTGCATCTGTTGTTTATTAATGCTCACAGGCGTAGGAGTGTGTTTGCTTTCTTAACCCTGCTGCCTTCATGTCTTTGGACTGACTATCTTTTGGCATTTTATATTAACCCTTGGTAAGTGATTTCATTTTTACTATTTACCCAACACAAAGTCTTTAAAAGTTAACTTGCAGAAAGTAAACAAAATAGGATTAAGGTTTTTTGTTTTGTTTTGTTTTGTTTTCTCACTGGCTATTTTCCGTGATTCTCAGCACTTAGGACAATGAGCAAATGGAAAGGCATTGAGACAGTGAATGGTACCCAGATGGCTAAAGTGAAATCTCCTGTGGTTCTCTCAAAGGCTTTCCTGTCCTGTGTTCCTTGTCATTCATCTTCTTGGAGTTGGTCTGTGGCCTCCCATATTTGCGTCCCATTTTTCTTCCCATCCCCACATATGAGAAAATGCTTTATTTCCAAGAAGGTAAACACAGGGAGGTAGGGGGAGGAGACTGGATCTGGAGATCTCTTTGCTTTCATAACAAGCTCAACTCTACTGAATATCTAACTGCGTATAAGCCCTTCTGTGCAATTGTCTTCTCTAATCCCCTGACAGTCTGTAACCTGCTATGGTCCTTTTAGAGACAGGAAAACAGAACTCTGGGCTTCCAGCTAAGCAGCTATGGCTGCACTTGCAGATGGCCCAAGTTCAGCTCCCAGAAACCACAGAGGGCAGCGCACAACCACCTATAACCCCCGCTCCAGGAGATCCAGTCCCCTCCTTGGGCACCTGCATTCCTGTGCATGTCCTCAAGCATACACATCTATACACATAATTTATAACTAAAATCTTCAACAAAAGAAAGGAAAATAGGTCCCTAAAGTGGGCAACTGTCTTGACATCATGAGCCATCATATAATAAACACAGGCTCAGAGCCCAATGTCCTCTCTCCTCTCCACAGAAAGGAAGCACCTTCCTTTGAGCCACTGTTTTATTAGTATCTAAATCACACCAACAATCAAGCCTTGAAGCATAGCCTTCTTGGCTTGTGCTATGCTATAATGATAGTGGTAGTAATCATGATAATAAACTTCACTTCTTAGGTCAAAGAAGCCAAAATTGTTTTCTCCCTCAAGACACCAGAGAAATAGTCAGTCTTCCAGGAGACTGACAAAGATCCCAAGCGCACACACACAGTCATTGTCCTTAAGCTAACACATGGCTGTTAGACGGTAAATAACAATACACAGCTATCTGAAATGTGGGCAATGTGAAGCAGACTTGGAAGGAATCAGTAAAAATACCTCACAGAGTGGAGTAGTGGCTGTGTTTGTGAGAGAGAGAGAGAGAGAGAGAGAGAGGGGGGGGGAGATGAAGTGAGAGAAAATGCACAGACAGAGAGACAGACAGAGAGACAGAGATAGAGAAGGGTGGGGGAGGGAGAGAAAGGGATGGGAGAATCTAAACAACTATTCTTGCATTGAAGCTATGGGCCAAATACTCTTATAGTCCTCCGAGGGCAAATGGAACACAGGTGATGTAATTTATGATGTCAAGCTGAGAAGGAAGAAACATTGAAAATGACTTTCTCATTGTGCGTCGTTACTGCAGAATTTGTACATTCTTTAAGGAAAATACTCCGGGGATGTTCTTTGAAATGAGGTCAATACCACATCCCACTCTAATAGCATCCGTTACCATTCTCTTGGCTGTTGCTACTTTTTAGACTCAGACTTCACCATCATCAACTCAGTGTGTCCTGTATTTAGTATCAGGTAGTCTCCAGGGTAAGAGTGGGACATGTTAATTCCACCATGACCTTCAAGACCTGCTTTACATTTCAGCTGAGCACCCGCTCATCGTCCTCGGGAATTCCTCCGTGCTTAGGATGCAGGTGGTGACTAGGGTATCCACCACAGGTTTCAGTTAAAGCAAAACGAAGGCTGTTATAGCCCATTCCCAGCTTCGTCCCTCAGAGCTTCCCATTTTCTACAGTGCACAGACTTGTGCACCTTTCTTAATGACCCGCTGATGAACAGTGTGAAACCCTGCTTAAGAGGGGCGAAATGCCCTACTGTTTTTAGAAGAACATCCCTAGGCTGTAAATAGTTGCCCAGAGGTGAGAAGAGACCGTCCAAGGTAAGAGACCAGTCTCTGTTGTCTAAAACTTTCACACATCCCAAACGAGAAAAAAAAAAAAAAAAAAAAAAAAAAAAAAAAAAAAAAGCTCCCATTCCCACTGCTTGATCTGTGGGTCCCTCCCTAGGCCCACATTTGCTGAGCCGCCTCAGATGCATCTGCCTTCATATGCCAAGTATCCTGCTAACAACAGCAGAGCGACACTCCCACACACTCCCAAAGCATTATCCAGCTTCCTCGGGAAGTGAAGGGTTTTTTTTAAAGGGATGGGTTTCTATTGATTTGCTACCACCCTCAGAGGCCTCTAGAAGTTTGAGAGGAAATCGAGAGATCCTATCAGATAGTTTCTCATCGTCTGGTGAGAATTCTACCACGAGGTGGTAGGTGTCTGGCGAGAGTACCCTGTCAGGTTGCTTCTGTGAGGATTGCTGACTTCAATGGTGTTGGAGCCCAACTCTTCTTAGAAGATTCTCCATTCTGAACTAAATTCACCACTGCTTCTCTTCTCTACCACAGCCACCTGCATGACATGCTCAGACATTCCTGCTTCTGCTCTAACTTGTAAACAGTTAGCACTTTAAGCACAGGGTGACATTTAGTTACATTATTCAAATGTATACACAGTGATTGGTCATGCTATATTTGAAGCAGGACACAAACCTAAAGCCCCTTTATTCAGATTTTATGGTGGCTTTTGCTTAGCGTGTGAAACAGCTGCACTTAGGAACCTGGGGACCTCTATGGTTTTATACTTTGTTTTAATCAATATTCCATGGCTCTGTCATTACCTTCTATTCTTTTGAGGAATGGACTGCAGTGTGGTTGGATTTCACAGGCTCTTAAGAACTTAGGAGGAATCTACCTTAATTTCTCTAAGCCACAGGGGATTTGAACTTTTGTCTTACATAAACAAAAAGAGGGGAAATGAAATGTGCATGATCCTCTAATTCTGTCTGTGTCTCTGTCTCTCTGTGTGTCTCTCTGTCTCTCTGTCTCTCTCTGTGTGTCTCTCTGTCTCTGCCTCTGTCTCTGTCTCTGTGTCTCTCTGTCTCTCTCTCTCTGTCTCTCTCTCTGTCTCTCTCTCTGTCTCTCTGTCTCTGTCTCTGTCTCTGTCTCTGTGTCTCTCTGTCTCTCTCTCTGTCTCTCTCTCTCTCTCTAATACCCAAAAGTATAGAAAGGTGCTTTCAATTTATCCATTTCTGTCATCAGTCAATTTCGCCATATTCCATGGCCTTCAGATACAGGGACACTCCAGATTCAACAGAATCTAAATAGAATGTTGAAAGCAGCCAAAATCACACAGACGCACCCTCATGGCCACAGTGCACCACCCAAAATACGCAGTGGAATTTTACAGCACACTGAAAGTTCACTCAGGAACAAATGGGATTAGAATGAAAAGGTGTGCATCTGTCCTCCATGGGTCTGGTTTCTCCTGAGCTGCCAAGCGCCAGCAGCTCATGATTTCAGCATGAATGTATTCAGTATCTCTCCGTGCACACACCCCTTTGTTTCAGATTCCTCTTGCAATCTGTTGGATAGGAAAGGGATTTTTGTTCACTCTCAGTCTCCCAATACTAGCAGAGCTGTCAGCCACCTGCCCTGGCATTCTGCTTTCTCAAAATGCTGACGTAATTGGCTGTGTTGCATTCTGAAATTAACTGACTACCATAAGAGTTGAACGAAGGGAGGGCCCGTGGAGCTTTCTGTAGGTTCCAGCGTCCTAAGTGATACGGCTATGTCCGACATCCATGCTTTTTAAATGATAGGGAAGACCTGTATATTTTCTAAAGTCTAAAGAACAAAAGACAAAGAAGATGAGGCCACGGGAGCAGGTGAGAAACAGGAATGAAGCAGGGGGTGTCTTCACTTAGAAGCAGGAATATATAAAAGCTATTTAAACCCAGAAACTCCATGTGCCACAATGGATGCTTCCCTATAACCCTGGCCTGCTCTCTGTCCACAAGCCTCAAGGATCAAGTCATAGTTATTCTTTGGACAGTTTGAGAATAGTGCCTAGTCTTTCCTTTTACTGGTACACACGCACTCCTTGTGCATTGTGGTGTATGTGTGCGGTCTGTGTGGGCATCTCTGTGTGTGTGTGTGTGTGTGTGTGTGTTAGGACTGTAAGTTCACACCACACTGGGCGCGTGGAGGTTCAAGGTCAGCTTTCAGAAGTCAGTTCTCTCCCTCCGCCTTGAGTTCCAGGGGCTAGACTCAGGTTCTCAGGCTTGTCAGCAAGACCTTTAACTGGTTGAGCCAGCTCCTGGCCTCACAGAAACATTTTCCTCAAGCACGTCATGTGCTTTGAGCACACTCACCTCCTGTATCCCACGCACCATCCTTCCTCCCTTTGTACCAGTCCTCCTCTGATCCCCAGATAGTCCATGCTGTATATAAAGCTGCATATAATAGAAAAGGCTACAAGATGTGTAATTTGCATAATTGACTTACTAAGTGAAACTGTGGGGATAATACAGATTTGAGGTATTTTGCTTCAGGTCACCATGATAAGCATTCCTTGACAGGCCACTGTAGGGACAGTAAGCCACGCCTATTAGAGTCTGGCTGCAGGTGTGCCTGACCACACCTGTCAAGGTGTGGTCAGTGTGAGGTCCGGATGACGAGGCATGGGCTCTTAAGGGGCTGCAGAGTGCATGGGAGCCCCTTCTTCTCCTTCTCCCTGGCCTCGCTGCTTGGCTGCCACTGGCACGCTCTGGCTTGCGTTTGGCTGGTATTTATCTGAATAAAGGTATCTTGAACCTACAAGTTCTCCCTTCAGGCCACTATGGCATCCACTGTCTCTACTCAGCCCTGAAGGCTGCAGTGTCTAGCTGTGGGGATAACACAGGTCTACCACACCACAGGAGAAATGGCCATTTGCCAGGTGCTATGGAACCGTGGGGCAAGCACTGCTTTGTTTTTTTAAAGGCTTTCTGGGGCTGAGATAGCCCCAAAATCACAGTTTTAGTGTACGAATAAATAATCTGGCACATGAAGGTGCTTGTACCTATAACTGATCACTGACATTTATTTTTGAAAATGTGCATGCCTTCATTAAAATACTTAAGGACCTGTGGTACCGATTACAGGAATATTTACTATCATTTCATTCTAAGCTCAATTAGGCTAATGCATGCCATTTGTATGGATGATAAAATACAATGACAAAGGACTTCAAGTAACTTCTGTCCTAGTGTGAGTCAACTCCGGTTGGTTGTTTTACCCACTGCATGAAAACAATCACTCTAAATAATCCTAAGTAAATGTAATTAACCAAACCATACATTAACACTTCCTGTGTTTGAGTTTATGGGTTATTAATGAATTAAGAAGAAACACAAGGCAGGTGTTTCGTATATGATTAAAGCATGATAACACAGACTTGTGTACGTCACACACCCACATAGTTCACCTCAGAAATAATGGGCGAGGCTATTTTAGTCCCTAATTAAGAATACAACCTCCAATTTCCTTGGCATTTGTTCTTTGTCCCCCGATTCTCCTTTCTTGTCTCCAGACACTGGAAGCCATGAAATGGATGTTTCCATTACTAATAAAACATTCCAGTGAGCCAGCAACTGCATCTCTAGAAAGTTGTCAGCAAACGGGAAATATGAAGTGCGGGTGTGTTCTTGCCACCCAGTAGTTTCTTAAAATGAATCAGAAACAGTCTTCATTTTACCTAAAGAAGACTAGTTTAACAAATCTGAGGTATAGTGACTAAAAATTAAATAGTAGCTCAATAAAAAAAAGTTTAAAGCTCTTTAAAGTTGAATCATATTAGTCAATTTTTTATCCCAATAAATGTATTTTTTTTCACTTTTCAGGAGCAAAAATGGCTTAAAGAAGAGGAAACTGACTAAGTAAGTTGTAGTACTGTTACACTTAGTTTCATCATAATGATCTTCACTTTCCAAATTAAAGCCTATTTCCCTCCTATTGCTGTGATAAAGCTCTCTGGCCCAAGTAACTTAGGAGAGAAAAGGGTTTATTTCATCTTACAGGTTACAGTCTATCACTAAGGGAAGCCAGGGCAAGAACTCAAGCAGGACCCAGATTTAGTGCCACACGCCTTTAATCCCAGCACTCAGAGGCAGAGGCAGGCAGATCTCTGTGAGTTCCAGGACAGCAGGGAAGGTCCCATCTCAAAAACAAAACAGAAGAGAACTTGAAACAGAAACCATGGAGGAACACTGCTTGCTGCTGGCTTGCTGTGGCTCGTGCTTAGGTACTTTCTTATACAGTCCGGAATCACCTGATCAGAGAACCATTGTGGTACCCACAGTGCTCTAGGTCTTCCTCATCACTTAACATTCAAGACAACTTCCCACAGGCATACCTACCCTCAGGCTAATCTGATCGGAGATTAAATTAAGGTAACAGGACCAAAAGATCACAAGCTTCCAAATAGAAGGGATGCCTAGGAAGAGGTGGGTATATGTGTGGAAAAGCACAGTGTGTTGCTGTTTACACACAGGAATGGAGAGATCACTGGAGATGCTTGTCACAGAGTCCACTCCAGGAAAAATGTCCGTTCTCACCACAGGAAACCACAGAAGGAATGGAGTTAGGATTTACAGACAGCCTGCAAGAGGCCATGTCAAATATATAACCATTTAATATGTACATGAAAGCATACAAAAGCCTCTGGTCATTTTGTTTTGAAATTCTAGGTTTATTCCAGAGAAAGGTTTTTACTCTAGTTGGTGCTAAAATTAATGCTCTGGAATCTGTCATGATAAATAGGAAAGATAATTAGCTAGCCTGTGCTCTTGCCTCCTGAACTGTTTAAGTCAGAAGAATATGATTACAGTGAGTGAAAATTACCCACCTTTGATTTCACAAGTTTATGAGTTATCAGTTCCAGGCCTTTTCTTGATTAAAATTCTATAGTGCATATAAACAGGGAAACATTTTTTATAATTCAATCTTTATTCTTATAAAGGACCAGAACACTGATGTATTAGTTCAAAAAGGCAATGGGGTTCCAGTGACATTGTTGCTGATGGGGGTGAAAATCATATAGTGTTTTGCTAGGTGTTTCAAAAGAAACATTAAGGTAAGTATTTTTATTTAGCTTTGAGTGGGTTATAATCTCAGGGCACAGTAAGATAATCTTTCCAGAGTCTGCTAAAATCAGTAAACACGCCCCTGGCATGCGCCACAGGGCATGCTGGAGGGACGACTAGTCAAGAAGAAACAACCGTTTGGGAGGAACATTATGAGGGCAATGGGAAGTTTTCATTGCCAAGAACTATTGGTAGGTTTTGAAGTGAGCTATAGAGGGATTGGCTAGAATAGCCAGGAACAGAGTCCCAGAACAAAGGGGAGGGGACACCCTGAGATGTCTCCTTCCAAGTCCCAGGAGGAAGCAAGAAGGTAAAGGAACTGGACTCTGTGGTTCCTGACTTCTGTCCCCTTGTCCCCATGCCCCCTCCCCCACTTCTGCCCCATCTTTTAAATCTTCCTGCTGCTCACTCCCCCTCCCAGTGCCCCCCTCCCCTGCCAGCCATACGAGTTCTATCCCAGCCTTTTCCTGTCTGTCTCCCTTCTTCTTGGGTTTGCCTCTTCTCACCCACAAATCTGGTCTGTCTTCACTACACATGTTCCTGGTTTCCTAATAACAAGGTACAGTTTGGAAATGTTAAATCCAACCGTGAGGTCAATGCCCCACTACAACCGCCGCCAGAGAGAGCAGCTCTGATGGGGTCGGGCATGGGAGCCCATCTTTAGCTGGTATTTGAGAAAGAGAAGAACGTTAACATGGGAAAACCTTTGAACCAGGACTTGCTCTGCTGGGGCTCTCGTCAGAGTTCTACTCCCCAGTGACCCCATGACAGAGTCCTCACTTCTTCCCTTAATGGTGACTCTCTTATGTCTGCTTGGTCCTGCTGTGCTGGGATTGAAGTAGAAGCTTCGCATATACCACTAAGCTACAGCCCAGGCATCTGTGGCTCTCATGGATCCACCAACAAGTCAACTTGTTTTATGAACTGCCTTGGTTTTGGTGGACCAGAACCATTGTTTCTATCACTTCTGATTGAAGGCATTAGAGTTTTGATGTAATACCCGATAATGTTTACTTCTTTACACTCTACGAAAATGTTAGTTGCCTCGCAGTGAAAGAAAGTAAAGCCAACACCAGAGGGGAAGAGAAGTGAGAATGAAGAGCAGAGTAGCCACCCAGCAGCTTTAACTGAACACCTAAGGCACGCTGCGTAGTTGCTAATGGGGTGCGGGACGGCAGACAGATGGCAGAAGCTGAGCAATGCTACACAAGACTAAGGTACAGGCTAAGTGTGTGGACCCCACCCAAATCGAAAGGCTGGGGCTATTGGAGAAAGTACAGCTTCCCGAAGGAAAAAGAACAGGTGGTGTAGGCTGCTTCTAGAAGAGGAGAGAGGTGACCAAGATGCACAGAACAAGAAAGTTAAATCCTATTCATAAAAAAAGAAAAGAAAAGAAACTACCCTGGGTGGGGAAACGTGGCTTGGGTGTGTCACTTGCTTGCACTTCTGAGTCATTTCTACAATTACATCGATTTACCAGATTACATACAGTTCTCTCAGGCCAGACACTCAGAGTTTCCTAGACAAATGTTCCATCCTGCTGACCGGTGCCCTGCTCTGGGGTGCTGTAGCTAGCTGCAGGAGTCCCTGTTCTTAGAAAGCTGTTTAACAAGTCTCTTTGGATGCTGTATGTGGACCCAGGGAGGTGGGTGTGCCAGTAGCATTTTTCACGCCTATGGGGAAAGTATGAGAAGTTAGATGATTAGCCAGAGTCACATTCTATATCAGGAACAGCAAACCGCATCTCAGACAGGACACCGGAATGCAAACCTTCTTCTTTCTCACATGCCTGGATCCTCTAGAAATAAACACACGAATACATGCATGTGTATTTCTACGTACATACACCCAACACACAAACACACATGTGCGTGAAAGTGTGTACATAATACAGTTTTGCTAAATTAAAGGTGAAGTGTAGATCTAGACATCTCTAGGAAACTTAGTGTATATATGGTTTTTTTTTTCTAAAATTGTATTGCCAAATGACAGCCTTAATTAGAGAATGTAGGGACAGTGAGTGTTCATCCCAGAAAAGAAAAACTTCTGTTTTTGCCAAGAAAAGTACACAGTGCGGTGTTAAGCAATATGCTGCCCACCGGGTTGACTCTTAAACATTCCTTTCTTTGTGTTTGACAAAGCCCAGTTCAGCTGGATGACTTTGACTCTTACATCAAGGATATGGCTAAGGACTCTGACTACAAATTCTCTCTTCAGTTTGAGGTGAGTGATGGGTGTTTTCTCCCTTCTGTGATGGATGTGGTGTGGAGATGGCCGGGTCCACAGTGGGGTCACTTCCCTGGTCACTGAGTAGAGCATGTGATATATGGCTAAGCAAGGAAAGCTACTGACCTCCTTGGGGGAGGGCTTAACTTCTTGGCCAGATCAAGGGGCCTCCATGATTGGCTAGAAGACCAGAGCTCAGACAGCTCAAATGCAGGGAGGGAGAGAATAGGAGAAGGTTCAAAGGTGTGCAGACAGGACCAGGAGATGCCGTTTTTGAAACATGGCATTCAAGGCATGAAAAGTCAAGAGGAAGGAGTAATAAAAACAAATGGACAGCCGGCATTGCACTTACCTTCCAGGGACTTTGGTGTGTCTTCAGGTGACCAAAGACAAGGCAGATGGCGGGTACCCACCCGTGTCTCCTTGATGTGTGCCAGCCAAAGGGCAGGGTGCTCATTAAGCTGGGGTTCCAAGCAATGCTGCTGAACACTTGTGGCTGCTTGGTTTTCTTTCTTTTGAAAACCTGAGGAGAGAGAGTTGTCATGATTTGTGTAGACATAGAAGAGCACTGTCCACACTCCCCTTCTTTGAAATCCACACTGAGAGTGAGACCGTGTGCCTGCTTAAACGGTGGGCAAGTGGGCAGAATCCAGGGGTCCCATGGCTCCTCACAGGCTTCAGGTGCCCCAGCCCCTGCACTGACTCGTGACTCCAGATAATGGAATGATTGTGGTCTTTCTAAATCTTATAGTTTTCTTTTAAAACATAAGTTTTCTCTCTCATTAAAGTAACTGGTCTTATCTCATTTATCTTTTTCCATTTCTTCTTTATCTTCATCAGCCAAGGACAGCTTTAGCCAACAGAGGTCAGCAATAGTCTGGGTATGGATGTTCTTTCAGGAAGCCTGAGGGTGAAAAAAATCTTTTAAAAAGTTTCTTTTACTCTCTCTCTCTCTCTCTCTCTCTCTCTCTCTCTCTCTCTCTCTCTCTGTGTGTGTGTGTGTGTGTGTGTGTGTGTGTGTGTGTGTGTGTGTGTGTGTGTGTGTGTGTGAATATATGTAAGTTGTATGTATGCCACAATGTGTATGTAGATCACAGGACAACTTCCAAGAGTCAGGTCACCCTTCACCATATGGGGTACGGGGATCCCACTCGTCAAGGTCATCAGGCTTAGTGGGAAGAACCATAACCCACTGAGCCATCTCGATGACCTGTGAAGAATCTTAGTCATTACAAATGCAAAGCCCCCTAACTACCACCTGTCTTGATAAATCTCACATACAGCCTGGCCAGTTATCTATTCCCTGCAAGTACATACGAAATTATCACTATTACCCCCATGTGGCATCACAAATCACAGAGATCCAATTATATTTCAGGGTCTACAGTAAGCATTTCAGAAAGTAAGACACTGGAAGGAGGATATTCTTAAAATATTAATAATAAGCCAAAAATTCTGTAAAAACTGAATAGCTGGATGACTATAATGGTGGAGATGAAAATGATGGCATAACTGTGCCTCCAACTGAGTAAAATGTTTCTTAATTCCTTTGAGATTGGGTATTGGATAAGTTACTTTTCTGTTGCTATGATTTAAAAAAAAATACCCTGACAAAAAGGGGATTAGGAAAGAATGAATTCTTTTCACCTAGAGTTCTAGGATGAGAGACTCTATTGTGACGGGGAAGGCACGGCAATAGGAGCCTGAGGTAAGCTCTGCAGCAAGTAGGCAGGGAGAGACAGGAAGTGGGAGCAGGCTGTAAAATCTCAAAGCCTGTCCTGGGGATGCACATCTTCCAGCAAAGCTCACAGTCCCATAACCCTCCCAAACAGTGCCACCAGTTGGGGACCAATTGCCCAAACCTACATACCTCTAGGGGACATTCTTCTCAAACCACCATAGGTGTTATTGGTGGCACAGCGAGGGGACATGACTCCTGCTGAGGACTCATAGTTTATGCCATCAAACCAGAGTGTAAATATCACTATGTTTTAGAATTTTATAGTTATTTAAAAGTTCAATGCTATTTCCTGGTTTGATTTAAAAAAAAAAAAGGATGCTTTTATTGTAACTGAAATCTAATTCTAACCAGCTTACATCTAATTAAAGGGGGCTTTATTGTGTATCTTGTGTAATAAAAGGAAGAGTTAAGTAGATAAACCTTGGGATGGATGGAAGCTCGAGCAAGACCCCCAAAGGGGCCCCTTCCTTCCTCATTTTTGTTCTCCTCTGGTCTTGACTTTGCTTTCTTTCACCAAAAGCCAACTCCTTTTTCTCTGTAGAAAACTCAGTGTCTTTCTTAGATAGGGTTTCTATGACTGTGAAGAGATATCATGACCACAGCAACTTTTATAAAGAAAACATTAACTGGGGTGGCTTACAGTTCAGAGATTTAGTTCATTATCATTATGGTGGGCCATGAAGGCATACAGACAGACATGGTACTGGAGAAGGAACACAGAGTTCTTCCTTCTTGACACACAGGTAACAGGAAGTGGTCTGAGACACTGGGAGTAGTTTGAGCATATATGAGACCTCAAAGCCCATGCCCACAGTGACACACTTCCTCCAACAAGGCCACACTTATTCTAACAAAGTGACACTTCCTATTAGTGCCACTCGCTATGAATTTATGGGGGCCAAATACATTCAAACCACCACAGTATCCAACACCCCCTCCCCTCCCCCAAGCTCTATTCTCCTACCCCACCCTTCCTTACCCCTCCACATAACATTCTTTTGCTCATCTGTGCTTTGAAAATTAACAGCGAATTCTGTCTAGACAGCTGGGTCATGGTGCCATTCTATCCAACTACTAAGTCAGAAGAAATAGTCACATAAAGTCTGCCAAACAAGATAGCAAGACTAAATCACCTTAGGTGAGGGATAGCCATATTTCTGAATAAAGATGGTGGACTGCCAGACAATAAGCAATTCATGTACTAGCTACAAATACCACATAGATATGTTAAAAGGAATTATACACTTTACATGCTAAATGTTGAATCTATTGTGTGCTTGGTCTTTATGTTTTCAATGTATGATGAACATTTTTAATTTAGTTCATAACATTTGTATTTTTATTTGAGAATTTCTATTTATTTGGCCCCTAATAAGTCAATATTTGGGGGTGTCATACTTTTCAAAACCTCAGTTTCTTCACCCATAAGACTTGCAGGTTGAATTAGATTAGTGATTCCCCACTGAGCCAGAGCCAGCCAGTTCCCAAGAAGGAACGTTGTGGTGCTGCGTGGGAGTGGCTTCAGTTAATGCTGTGGGTGGAGACTACTAACAGCATATAATGGGAGGAGGGCAGGAGAATTAAATTTTCTTCAAGGCGTGCAATCAGGAATTGGCCTTGGCTAGTAGGAGCACCGTGCAGCGTGCTTTCCCGTGCCTGTGTATTACAGTTCTCCAGAAACCCCAATGGATGTGCACACAGAACCAGCAGGAGTGTAGAGAGAGTGGTTTGTCTTAAGGAACTGGCTTAGGACAACTAGCAAGTCAAGTCTTCAGGACAGGATGTCCCTTTGGTGAGCCACAGAAATGCTGAGGTTGCAGTCATGGGTCTGAAAGCAGTAGGGAGCAGAATTCCATCCTTTCTCAGGGAGTTTCCTTCCCTCTTAATTCAATTAGTTGATTGGCTACGTCCCACCCAATGTACAAACAGTAATCTACTTTATTCAGAGCCCAGTGAGTTCATCACATTTTGCCAATTTCATAGCAAGCTCTAGTTTGCTATGTGGCCAAGCAACTGGGCACTATAGCCTAGCCAAGCTGACACATAAACACAGCCATTGTGCCGGGTTTTGAAGACATGTTTAGGGCTTTTACTGTTAATAAACACTTTTCATACTTCTCTATTCTTAGAACAGTATTAGTTGTGTGTGTAACGTACTTGGCATCATGCTTACTCCAAGTGCATGATTCAGTGAGAAATCCTGGAATCTTTACATCACACACTTGGGCTGTATGTCTTGGACTAGCGTTTGCTCAGCCAGGGACCCCCTGGTTGTATTTCCCTTCTCCCTGGCAGCCTCCAGTCAATTCTGAACTCTTCACATCCCACAGTGTCGTCAGATTGAGTATGATTTCTTCACCATTTTCAGGGAAGCACTGAGCTCCGATAAATGTTTGCTGTGTATATGCCTCACCTTCAGATAACAGTCTTTGAATTTTCTAGTATTCTGTATTCATAATTACATAGCAGGGAAGATGCTTCTGGCTATAACAGTACCTCAGGAAGGTATTGGGATGACTCAATCTGCTGGGTCTAGCTAAACCTAGTAGCTGAAACAGGTATTTGTTCTGCTTATCCGAATGCTTAGACACTTGAGTTCATTTCCATACTGACACTGAAAGATCAAACATGCATTGAGAAATTGCATCATTTGTAATCATTATGCAAATTGAAGATAATGCCTAGATTTACATATATTACCAATACAGCTAAAAATCATACATGGATCTATAACAGTTTCTACTTCCCATTCTCTGAATAAATTCCCTGTCACACAGTATCTGATTTGGGAAGTGTGGGAAAGACTGATTATTCTTCTGACAGAAGTATACATGTTTCCTTAAGGAGGCTGGGAACTTGAAAGGTGACACCTTCATTTCTGAGGTTTCCAATGACAGGGCTTCCAAAGAGCCCACTTCAGAGCTTGAGGCGAGGGCCATTCACAAGGCACTCCACGTACCCCTTGATTTCCCATTGATTTCTCGAATTTGTGATTGAACGGAACACAGGTAAAGGCCCTCACACTCTTTGTTCAGAAACATTGCTGCAAAGATGAACCTATAACCATGTAACATGCTATACGTGTCAAACGAGAGGTGACCTTTTCTTTCTGAGAGTGGCTCAGTCTTGGCTGATTTTATGTGCGACTCAGGCCCGTTCCCTGGAGTCGTCACTGGAATGGGTTGCCTCAAATCACCCCATCAGTTTTTAGGCACAGGCTCTTTGCTCCCAGACTTGGCTTTTCTCTCTTCTCATTTCTTCTCTCCCAGATAGCTGATCCATTTCCAAGGGCCTATACTTAGCACTGTGGCCTTTCTCTGCGCTGTCCCTGACATGAACTGCATCGTGGCCTTCGGGTTCCTGTAGACTTCCCTAAGGTCAATTTCTTTTGTCTCTACTCTTCTATTACCCACCCATTCTATCCCCATCAGGGCTATACTCTTTCCTCGAGGTGTGTATGGTGGATTGAATTGTGCTTCCCACATCTGTTGAGGTTCTAACATCTCCCTACCACAGGATGGCATCGGATTTTCAGATAGAACCATGATAGATGGAGATGGTTACAACTGTCAAAACTTAAGTGGCCATACTATATGCAGTTGTAGGCGAATGCCCCATTAGAAGCCAAGGGAAGCCAATGAAATTCCCACCACAGCCATCACAGAGGGGATGTGGCCTTGCTGATCCCTCAGTTTCATGTTTGTGGGCTCCAGGGCTATGAAACAATACATTTGTTTAGTGTTGAGTCAACATATTTGTGGCATCTTGTCCTGGTAGGCCCGGGAGACTCATATAGTACCACACTAGACAGCTTACTCTAAGCCTTTTCATCTCCCTGGATGGTCCCCTGAAGATAAGCAAACACTGAGATTCTATTGTGCCATTGACTTGCTGCAGAGAAGATCTCTGCTCTTCCCTCACCCTCTGTCCTCCCTGTGGATACGTGGATGACTTGCCTCTGATGCCCGGTCTACTCCAAAGTAAACACAAAGCATTGCCAGCTGGCGACGATGCTGCCAGCCCTAAGAGCAGACCACAGCGGTGCTTGTTTTAGATGACGACCGTCTATGTTCTTTCCGTCCATGCTGAGGGCCTAGCCTCATTGTCAGGGTTTGAAGATGAGGCCCTTCAGAGATAACTAGGATAGACAGTGGGGCTGGGAGTCTAGTGACAAGATCAGTACCTTTACAGTAAGAGAAACATACACATATACAACATGCACACATACACACAAACACAGCACATACACTTGTGCTTTCTCTGGAGTTGGATGCTTCAACACTCTCTGGCCTAGTACAGACCACCACTGGACTGGGCAATAGCATTTGGCTCCTAGAAAGTCATCACAGCGTTCTTGGCTTAACACAACAGATATTTACTCTCCCAGTGTCAGAGTCAGGAGCCGAAATGAGGAGTCATTAGAGCCACTCTCCCTCTGGAGGCTCTGGGAGGGCACTTCTTTACCTTGCTCAGGGTCTGATAATCCCAAGTGTTCTTTGACTGGCAGCTGCATAAAGCCAGACTCTGACCCTGTCTTCACGGGCTTCTCATCTAGTAATCCACAGTGGTTTATCTCTGTGAGCTTTTACAAAAGGGTCACATCCATAGGTTCTAAGGCAGACACAGCATCTTGGTGAACAACATTCAGCACTCTAGAGATGTCTACAATAAATAAAGACTATGATTGACTATATTAGAAGCAAAACAGGCAGACAAAAATTCAAAAATGATTTATGTGGCTTTAGCCCATCACCCCTACACTTATCTTAATGAAGATTTAAGCCTCTGGTGTTTCCATGTGGTTGGAGAGAAAATAACTGCACAGCTACCGAACTGGAAACTCATTTGATTTTCCACTCGGCGACAAGCTAAATTACAAAGCCTGAAAAGCAGCTTGAGTGTCCATGCAGCTCCTGCTCTGATATGTGCAACTTGATCTTTTACATTTATGCTGCTCAGCCAATTAAGCAGCTCTTACCAGCTGAGGGCATTTACAGCTGGGAAGGTAACACTGGCTTATGGGTCTCTCGGTGAGTCAGCTTCCACGTGCGCTGCCAGCCTTCAGCCCCAGCCTGTTTCTAAGCTTCCTTTTGTATCTTTGCAGTGGCTTTTTGGTGTTATGTCTAAATTGGGGTGTGACAGGGTAGCTAAGGAGAGTTGTGACTCTATCCACACAATAGCCAAGAAAGGAGTCGTTAGAGACTCAAGGCAAGCAGAGCAAAAACAAACACAACCACACCATCAGAGTGTTTCACAATTAGTATCCATAGGGCAACATTTGCATTTGTTGAGTTTGATTATTCTATTTGATGGTACTACAGCCAGCAAGTACTGCAGAAATTGTAAGATGTATTTGGAGATAATTAGACTGATGTTGAGGAGAGCTGAGCCACTTTAGAAAAACCAGCAGTTTATAAGTGGCACACAGAACTAAGGGAAGATCTCTTTTGACAAATTATCATTTACGTTGTTTTTTCTAAAGAAAGTCTACTTGTAAATATTTTAATCAATGGAAGAGAAAGCAACATTTAAATAAGCTCATGATTACTCTAATTAACCTGAAAAATAACAGTGATTTAAGTTTTCCAAAACTTGGACTCAAGAGTCATATAGCAAACCACTAGAAACCCTTTAAATGAGAATTGCAATAGCAATTTTCTGCTTTCAGGGCACTGTAGAAAGGTTTTGTCTGAAATAGAGGGAAATTTTAAATTTGTGCTGAGGCACCAGCTTGCCAGTTTATCTTTAAGAAGGAGTGCCAGGTTATCCAAAAAGCTTAAGAATGTGTAATCCTGAGAAGCCAAAAACTGGTGAAGCGTCAGCAAGAAAGAGAAATCGGGCATCGAGGGCTATTCCTTCCGTGTGATGGCAACCGTGCATGCCAATGTCAGTTGACAGAGCCCAGTTGAAAGAGGCCAGAGGCCTAGGGCTCGATTCCTGAAGCGTGCGCTTGGGGAGGAGCGCCTGAGTCAAGATGAGGATGTGTCGATCTGTCTGCTCATCGCCTGGAATATCATCAGATGTCTCTCCCCTTAAAAATCTCTCAGAGATTCCAAAAGTCCTCCTCCAGAGGAAGCCTCTAGCTTTTGATTCCCTAAAGTAACAAGTGAGCAGCGACTTGCAGCGTAAAGCTTATGTGCCTTGCTGCACCCTTGGAATGGGTTACCTCGGTAGAGTGCGAGCACTCCGGAGTTCAGATCTGCGATGACTGGATAAAGGCCTTGCAAGAGTGTTGGCCAAACTGTGATCACAGCATGTGGTGATATGTTGTTTATGATTTACTAAAGCTTGTCTGAGAATTCGGAAAGCAAAGTCAACTACAAGCCATAGTAGTCAGACACACGCCTTTAATCCCAGCAGCCAAAGCTAGGAGGTGGTGGTATACATCTTTAATCCTAGGACTCAGGATTAAGAGAGAGATGGATCTCTGTGAGTTCCACGACACCCAGGGATACATGAGGTTGAACAGGTCTAAAAGAATAACAGATCACTCGCCTTTAATCCCAGAACTAGAATGGTATATAAGACAGGAGCAAGAGTCAGTGTGAGGCTTTTGGTTGTCCAGCCACACTGAAGATAGGGGCATTCATTCTCCAGCCACGCCGAGGAAAGGTTACAGTCTGAGGCTTGGAGACAGGACCAGCCCATTCAGCCTGAGGCAGAGGTGGGAGTTAGTGGCCAGCTGCTTTGCTTTTCTGATAATCAGCTTGAAGTTTGAACCCCAATATCAGTCACTGGATCATTTATTATTCATGTTACAACAGCACTCAGGAGGCAGAGACAAGCAAGGGATCTTCTGGGCACGCTGGCTAGCTAGCCTAGTGGACTGACTCAATAAGGGACCCTGTCTCAGTAAGTGAAGCAGAGAACAATTGAGGAAGATACCAATGTCAACCTCGGTCCTCCCCACACGGGCACACCACAGACACGCCAACACACAAATACACACGCACACACACCTGGCACATACACAAGCAAAAAATACTTAACTCTTTAGATGTTAAGTAAAACCTATGGGAACTGGTCAGCTGATAGAACGAGTCACAGAGCATCAAGTAACCCAATACAGAGGGTCTCCACAGCACTCAGTCACGGGGCATTCATTTACCCAGATACTCACCTATAAAATAAAAACGCATCTTGAAAAACATTACAGGGTATTGCTAGATTTGCTGCTTCTTTACTGAAGCATCCTAGAAACTGCCATCCCCCTAGACCGTAATGTGGACAGCTAGGTGACCTGGGACTTGTTTTCTACAAGACATGGGGATAGAGCTAGAAGGACAGGAGAAGAAACCAGACTAAGCAAACATGTAGTGAGCTTCCATTTCACTTGAGTTCCACCCAGATTCATTGACGAGAGCCAGCTGAGGACAACGGAGTGGATAAGTACATTCTTCCCTTAAAATGAGCTGCTGTGTTATCAGCTAGCCAGAGGCATGTTGTAGTTTTATGCATGTACAGAGTCCAAGTGAAGAGTGCGCCATCCCACGCACACCGCCTACAGAAACTCAAACCTATTCTTTCTTGTTTGCAGGAGCTGAAATTGATCGGACTGGACATTCCACACTTCGCCGCAGATCTGCCACTGAACCGATGTAAAAACCGTTACACAAACATCCTGCCATGTAAGCTGGCCAATAGTCCTGATCCCAGCCCTGTCTTTTAAAGGTCAAAGCATTGCTACTGCAGCTTAATCAGTTTCACTAGTTCTCAGCCAGACTCAGGTGTAGTCTGAATTGCAGGACTATGGCTACAATTTCCTGGGCCTAGCTAGTGCACCGATCTTATTCGGTGGAGACTGATTTATTACACCGCTTTCACATAAATTACATCTGAGAAGAAGGGACTAACAAGTTGTCCCTTTGGGGACCAAAGGGGCTAAACTAAATTGGAATCAGATAATCTGTGCTGCTGTGAAGTGTTTTCTGTGGATTCACTGAGAGTGGAAGGCCTAAGGCACAGTGCAGCATGGGAACGCCTTCCTCTCACGCCCGGCGAGAGAAGTGGTGGTTAGCATTCTGTAGTAAAAAGCAACATTCAAGAGAGAGGTAACAGGAAGGCTGCACAGGACCTGTATGTTATAGTTATAGTGTTGTAGTGCCTGTAATATAGGCTGATTTTCCATCTCTACTACCCTCAGGGCAGGCTAGGAAAGAAGGCAAACATAGAAAGAGGGAAACTAAATGTTCTAGAAAGATATCACTATTCTTCATGTGGTTTCTTGATAAAAGCAGATATAGTTATAACAATAGCATTCCACATCTGATTTTCTGATTGAAAAGTTACCCTTTTACCTAATTGACACATTCACAAAATCCCAATTAAGTTAGGAGTCCACAAAATATGGCCACTTTAAAGCCAATACATTTTGGTGATTTAGAAATATTTTTATTTAAATATTTTTCCTTACAATTTATTTTGCTCATATTCTTTGTTCTCCCCCAACTCCTCTGACATTCTCACCTCCCAACCCACCCAACTTCATATATTTACTCTCTCTGTCTCTCTCTCTGTCTCTCTCTGTCTGTCTCTCTGTCTCTCTCTCAAACACACACACACACACACACACACACACCAAAAAGCAAGAACAGAAAATTAAAACAAAAAAAAATCAACAAAGAAAGTCGGCAGAGAGGGAAAGTGGGGAGTAATAGGGAATAATATGACCACAATATGTGATATAGTTGCAAGTAATTTTCTTTAAAAACTTTTTAATTAAAAGATAATTACGCCATTTCTCTCTTTCCCTTTCCTCCTTCCAACTTCTCCCACGCCCCTTTTCTCCCTCTCAATTCATGGCCTCTTTTCCTTTGATTATTATTGCTACATACATAAACACAGGCTACTCAGGTTATTTAGTGTTGCTCATATGCATATGACTTCAGGGCTGACCACTTGGAATTGTATAAACCATTAGGGAGCTCATCCCTAGGGAAGACTAAGTCTCTTTCTCAGCAGTTGTCAGCTGCCTGTAGTTCTTTGTCTGGTGGTAGGGACTATGAGATCCCCACCTTCTATGATGGTGTGTTTATTTGGGTTGCCCTGTTTCATGTCTTATTTAGGCATCCATATTCTTTTTTAAAAAGTTTTATTTATTTATTATGTATACAGTGTTCAGTCTGCACCCCAGAAGAGGGTACCAGATATCTGGTTGTGAGCCCCCATGTGGTTGCTGGGAATTGAACTCAGGACCTCTGGAATAACAGCCAGTGTTCTTAACCTCTGAGACATCTCTCCATCCCAGGCATCCATATTCTTATGATATCATGAGTGTAGCTCCCTGCCATTTCTAGGAGATACAAGCAGACCTCCTATTCCTCTGGTTCTTACAATCTTTGTCACCTCTTCCACAATGTTCCCTGAAGTTAAGATGCAGGAATTGTATTATAGATTTATCCATAGGCGCTGGGAACCTATAATCAGTTGGTCTCTGCGATTTAATCAGTTGTGGATTTCTGTAGTGGCCTCTGTCTGCTGAAAAGGGAAGGCTCTTTGATGAAGGGTAAGAGATACACTAACGTGTGGTATTGGTGTTTAGAAAGCACTTAGAAATTGTTCTGGTCTAGTAAAGTGATAGTCAGAGGTTCTCTAAGATTTGTAGCCTGAGGAAACTGGGTAGTCACCTCAGTTTCCAGGACCAGGTCCTGTTGAGTAGACCTAAGTCCAACTGACAGTTGTTTACTGTCAAGAAGGGATTTTTTTTATGAATCTCAACCCACATAGGGTGAATATGTATCAATAAAGAGAAGTTTAAAAAAAGAAGTTAGCAATACAGAATAAACTAAAGGAAAAGATGAAATAGCCAAGATAAAAAGCTGTAATCAAAGAGTCCTACAACAATACTATGATAATGCAAAAGAGAGCAAACAGGAGTTAGGGTAGGGAGGTATCGGTTGAGAGGACACTTTAGTTTTGTAGAGATAAGCAAGCCTAGGGGCATAAACATACTAAATGGACTATAGTTGCTAACATTGTACAGTACTGAAGATTTTGTAACAGAGTGGGCTTTACATACTTTTACCACAAAAGAATAACAGTGTGAGATAGGAGATATGCTTGTTTGCTTAATTCTAGTAATCATTTCTTAATATACACATGGAGTGAGCACACACACACACACACACACACACACACACACACACACACACACACACACCCCTTAAAGATTAAATTATATGTCCAGCAACAAAAAATTAACTAATAGTAGAATAATACTAATAATTTCAAAAGGCATCTGCGTCTTCTGTTCTCTGAGTAAGGTAGTGGCTCTTTGAATTCCCTCATGAGATGGGGACCACACATTTAAGCTACATACTGTAGCTTTCCTTATGGCCACAAGGACATTTCAGTCCCTGCCTGGAGTGCCTACAGATGTTTCTCACAGCAATGGAGGAGCCGAGTGGCTGGAGGCTCATCGTGTGTTACCTAAAGGACAAATCGAGCCTACAGAATGTCTCTAGTATGGCACCACAGTAGATTACCTCCTTCCTGGCTGTTTAATTTAACTGGATATTTGATAGACTGTTGGGATATTTTTTCCTTCCATTCTGATTTTTGAATGTGTTCTTCATAGATGACTTCAGCCGAGTGAGACTAGTCTCCATGAATGAAGAGGAAGGAGCAGACTACATTAATGCCAACTATATTCCTGTAAGTAGAAAAAGAAACCAGGTATCCAAGTGCTCAAGACTGTACAGTCCAGGCAGTGGGAGAGCATAGCGGCTGTGCCTGTGTGTGAGATGACAAAGGGGCAGCTGTCCCTACCCAGCAACTGAGCCTAGGGAGCAGTGAGCAGTTTCTCTTGTTCCTGTTCAGAATACAGGATGCAATGGTTTACAACCTTCCTGACAACACCCCTCCAACCACACCGAGAGCCTTTCTGCAGTTCCTCATGTTGCAGTGACCCCAACCGTAAAATTACTTCATTGCTACTTCACAACTGTAATTTTGCTACGGTTATGAATCATAATGAAAGCATCTGATATGCAGAATACCTGATGTGTGACCCCTGTGAAAGGGTCTTTTGACCCCAAGGGGTCGTGACCAGAGGTTGAGAACCACTATCTGATAGGGGGACGGGCTCACAGGCCCTTGTGAGAGACTAGCAGAGAAAACAGGAGGTGGTGACACTAAGAGCCTCTCCCTTGTGTTTAGACCTCATAGCCCAGATTCCAAGTCTACACCTGTGCATTTAGAGCAGCGATAGAGTGTGGTTGTCATTTTAAAAAAAGGTGTGGACATGACTTGGTAGGCTCCTACAATACAGAGCTTTAAATCATCCAGAATTTAAGATCACCCAACCCACACAGCTCCTTTGATCACCTCTTTCATGATGGGGGTGGGGAATGCTATGTAGGCCTGTGATCCTTTGCCAGCTTTGTCATCAGCAATAGGTCAGCTGTCCTCACAGGCCTGGAACGACCAACGGCATTTGCTGGTGAAGTGTTAACACTGTCTCTCTTCTTTCAGGGATACAACTCACCACAGGAGTACATCGCCACGCAGGGACCACTGCCGGAAACCAGAAACGACTTCTGGAAGATGGTCCTACAGCAGAAGTCTCCTATCATTGTCATGCTCACCCAGTGCAACGAGAAAAGGAGGGTGTGTAGCTGTGTGCTTGTGTGCCTGTTGGCCATGGCTGCCCCACTCACACCCCATTCAGGCCCTGGATGCTGTGTCCAGTCCGAGAAGCAACTGTACTAGCCTGGTTTTCACCCTCACCCCCTGGCTGCATGTTTCTTCTGAAATGAGGGTCACTGCTGCCCTTTGATCAGCTCATACCCTATTCTTCCCTGGCTTCTTTGTTTGCTTGCTTGCTTGTTTTTTGTTTTGTTTTGTTTTGTTTTGTTTTTAATCGTATTATTTTTGCCTCAGGTAAAATGTGACCACTACTGGCCATTCACAGAAGAACCCATCACTTATGGAGATATCACCGTAGAGATGATCTCGGAGGATGAGCAGGACGACTGGGCCAGCAGACACTTCCGGATCAATTATGTAAGTTTTCGGCAGCTTCAGGGAGGGTGATCTCCAGTACCCCACACAGGGCCTGGAGAGCAAACCATCCCAATGTAAGGTTGAGAGCACTTCAGGCTCTGCCACGCTGCTACCTGCAAGAGACAAAAGTTCCGACGCAGCACAGTTTCTCCCCATCTTCATCCAGTGTGCTTTGGATGAAATGTTGTCTTCAAAGGCCAGGGGAGGTGAAAGAAAAGTCTGCATTGGTCTGTCTCAAACCTGCACGGCACTGCCAACCACAACTGGGAGGAAGGCATTCATTCTCGTCACTTGCATTAGTCAGATAAGAGTAACTGCAAGATACGTGAGACACGGATACATTTCAAATTAAACATCAGGACTTTGTTCTGAGTTTCCATGTCTATCCCTCATTAATCATGATTCCATGTCTCTCTTAAAGTTGGGTAGAGTTCCAGAAAGATCTGTTTGCTGGTCCTGCTTTTGTCTCATTGACAAGTCTTTGAGGGCTGATGGGTGTCTGTGCTTGGTTCCAGTGCTCACATCAGCCAAAGTTATCCCATTTGCTGGGGGGTGGGGGTGGGGTGGAGCATATCACTAGTATGGTCTGCTTGGAAAGAGCTGTGTGTTGAGAACAAAATTTAACTGGAGAGTCCGCTTGCCTTGTTCTTTCCTGCACAGAAACGGCCCTTCCTAATGGCACCGAAGGGAGAGGGTGTGATGATTCATTCATGTGGACCAGCCAAGCTCACCCCCTGCCCATTTCGTAAACCCCCTGAGCTAAGTGTAACATGTCTTTCTTAGGACTGCCAGCTCCCAAATAATGACACGGGGACTACTTATTAATTATGAAAGCTTGGTCTTAGCTTAGGCTTGTTCCCAATTAGATCTTAAAATTTAACCCATTTATATTAATCTGTGTCCTGCCACATGGCTCTTTACTTCTCCTCGGTAACATATGACCGACTTCTGTATCTCACTGGCAAATCCCCTGCCTCTCAGATTCTTCCCAGAATTCCCATTTCTGCCTGGAAATCCCAGCGATCCTCTCCTGCCTAGCCATTGGCTGTTCACCAACTTATTAAACCAAACAGAAGGTGCCTTAGGCAGATGAGGTAAAACAGTAAGACATCTTCACACAGTGTGATCAAATATCCCGCAACAGCTAAGAGCAGCTTCTCTGTTTTCAAATGTTAGGTGGACTGCAGACACAGCCGAGCAGTCTAATGCTTGGATGGTACACGCAAATCCCTGAGTTCTCCCTTCACAAAAATGAGTTGAAAGGATTGGGGAAAGTTAGGTAGTATTTCACATGGCATTGGCCACTCACAGACATAGTGGCACACACCAACCAGCCAGCACTCAGGAGGCTGAGGCAGAAGGACTTAGATATGAGGCTAGCTTTGACTGTACAATAAGACCCAGACCTCCAAGGAAAAAAACTTAAAGACTATTTCCGGTGAAATACTATATATCAATCATGTGAAATTCAAACTTCAGTGCTCATGGTGTTCTGTTGGATCACAGTCCACATTTATTTGTGTATTATCTATGACTGCCATGGAAACTGAATAGCTGTAATATCTAAAATTACTAAAATACCTACCCTGCCTTTTCCAGAAAATATACATATAAACAAAGGTTACCCATGGCAACAACAACAGAAGCACTCAGTTAACCGCCCACTGGTGCTTAGAAGTAACAAACCGGTTCTTATCTACTAGCTGTAAACAGTAGCTTTCTCTAGGGGTGAGGAAAAAAAAAATTCAGGTACACCCCTAGTGTGTGAGAGACAGGCTGCTTCATCCCGTCTCTCCTTTTGAAATGTCCAGTTCTTCCTTGTTCCCCAAGCAGGCTATTCAATTACTGTCACTCCTTTATGAGACCTCCCCATCCCCAGACTTTCAACTCCTTCCTGCCTGCCTCCAAGTGTCCCCGCCCCCCCTCCAGCTAACCACAATGCCTCTACAGTTTTCTTTCTTCACCTTTTCCTCCCCTCTCCCCCAGGAATACTGTTAGTTCCACCAGCAAGTGTTCTTTCTCCCTGGAATGAACAAATCTGAGAACGCGCTATTTCAAAACTAATAAAGCACTATCCAAGTCAATCGGCTTTCTACCAGCGGTGATATTTCACGACCTTAAGGCCATTTAAGCTGAGCTTGCTTTCTGGGCCGTTTCAGTGAGAAGGCCAGTGCAAATTGCTCAAGGGTAGAGAACAAATCTTTCCCCCTACGTTTGCATCTGGAGGGGGGGGGGGGAATAGGGAGTACAATGTCGGGTCTGTTCTCGAGCCTGCTCCCTTTATGGGGAAGACTTACACAGATCACAGTGTGATCAATAACATGCTTCTTGTCCTTGGCCCTAAATGATGGCCCCATCTTTCCATGACAAGCACGTGAAACATTTCAGCACCAGAAATAAAGCCCCACACAGCAGCGTTTGTTTATAAGGCGGTTCAGAGGACACGAGCATCTGGTGGCAGGGTGCCCTCTTTAGGCAGTAAGCTGGCAGAACCTGAATTGGTCAGACAACACGGATCTGTTCTAACCAAACAATTTTTCCCCTGAACTTTTTGTTTACATCCACCCTCCATTCTTTCTTCGCTCCACACTGAGATGTGTAAAGTTCCCGAGTATCTTCTCAACAAGAAACAAATATATAAATGAGAATTTCAGAGGGAGACAGTTTAGAATAGCGGAGTCAGACAAAACAAAAGGGTTTTTTGTCGCGCGTGGGAATCAAGATTCGCTAGACCCAGCACAGGTTAAAAAGGTTTATTCAGAGATAACACTTACATACGAGGCAGGCGGCTGACATAGGCTCTGGGCTCCAAGGATCCTCCTAGGTCTGTCCCCAGGTCAGCAGCCAGAGAGGAAGCCACGCCTTCCCTAGTCAGCCTAAAACCTACCCTCCGGTGAGCACCTGTGACCACTCCCAAATAGGCGTGGTCAGCGCCACAGGTGCGTAGTTAGGTCTCTCACTACAGGTTTTCTCATTAAACAAGGAAACTGACTGTAACGCCAGATTGTTACTTCCTAGCACCCGGACGCTGGTGTGAATTAGTATCAACAAGTTACTTATTCCCTTAGACTCCGAGTCTTGCTATCAACCAAAAAAGCCTCTGCCAGTTCCGTGGTCCTGCTTGGGAGCTGTGAGGAGACCACTGGCAGTCTAGTGGCTTCCCTCCTTTTACATCCATTTATACTTTTTAGCAGATGACATATTCAGAGTGGCTGTATTGGAATATGAACATGGAAAAGCAATACTGTGATTAGCATGTGAGCAGAGCCAGCATGGCTTATGAGCCTTTCCAGACAAGCCAGGCTATCTAATTTGACACACCCATCGTGCTGCATATTTGCTATTCTGCCCAGTTCTGCGCAGTTTATCATGGAAGGGTTACTTTGTTGACATATTCCTTGAAGGAAACCATAAGGGAAGCCAGCAAGCATAGCGTCTTCACAGCCTGTGTGCCTGGAGCAAGAGCCTCTGAGTGCTTCATGCTGCCTGTAAGTGGCAGATGATCTTAGGTGCCAAATAGACGGTGGGTCTAGTTGACGTGATGGCATTGTTATCTCTGTAAATCTTACAATGTGTTTGCACCTGCTATTTATATACAATCTACTTATATAGATGCAAATTCTGCTTAAGACTGTTGGGTTTTGCTCTTTGCAATCCATTTCTCTATGCTACCTGAATATAAACTTGAGCCCCAAACCTTCTAAAGTTTTGCTAGAATATTCTATCCAGAGTGGATTGTAGAGTCTTTGCAAGTTTGAGGGGTGAACCAGATACTCGAGAAGGGCCTGATTTGGGAGCCAGCCTCACAGTTAACAAAGGAACAAATCATTCTAATGACTTACTGGAAACCAAAGGAAATTGACCTTGAAGGCTCCCTACTGATGGCTGTGTAGCTAACTAAAAGGAGAGAAAGGTACCATGCACTTCAATCAAGTTCCCTAAGAATGCTGGGTCATGAATGGCACTGTAGTGCTGGCCCATTCCATGGGAAAGGTGACAGTAACAATCTGTAGGATGCTTTGACACATGAATGTGACCTCTTGGGAATTTCCCAGGAAAGCTCATTGGTATCTAGATGAGGGACAAGTGGTTCCACTAGCATGGAACTGGGCTGGAAGAGAGCTCCAAGTGGGATAGCAACAGGAGTTTCCAAAATTCACTGGCCCGGCCTGAGGCAGCTTCTAAATGGCAGAGGCAGGATGTCAACCTGAGTCGACATACGCTCTTGTTCTTAGCTACTAGAGCTAAGAGCTAGTAGATACGGGTTAACCTCTGTCTCCATATTTTGAGGCTTTGTACAATTACAATTTCCCTTCAGGACCTGATTTGTACACGCAGGTGCTCAGAGATGGAAAGGGAAGGGTGATGAAGAGGAGTAGAAAGTAGTCCCACCTCGACCTGCAATGGTCGCTCGGGCCACGCTAAGCGTAGATGAAGTGACTAATACGTGGTCGTTGGCATTTCTCCCCTACAGGCTGACGAGGCCCAGGATGTGATGCACTTTAACTACACGGCCTGGCCCGATCACGGTGTGCCTCCTGCAAATGCTGCCGAAAGCATCCTGCAGTTTGTATACATGGTCCGACAGCAAGCCACCAAGAGCAAAGGGCCCATGATCATCCACTGCAGGTAATCTGGCATTTCCTGCTGATTCCCTTCTCGACACTGTGACAAAAATATTTGACAATAGCTGCTCGAGAAGGTTGCCTTAGTTCAAGGGTTCAACCTGTCTCAGTGGGACATCGTGGTGGTAAGGGCTTAAGGAAGCCACAGGCAGGAAGCAGACAACGATGAATACTGGCGTGACCAGCGTTCTTGGTCTTATTCAAGCAGGGGCCGCTGTCCATGCAGTGTGGTGCTTGTCTTCAGGTCTGGTCTTCCCACCCGAGTCAACCTGTCTAGGAATGCCAGGACTTTGTCTCTAGGCCAGTGGTTCTTAACCTGTGAGTTGTGACCCCTTTGGGGGTTGAACAACCCTTCCACAGGGATTGGATATCATATATCCTGCATATCATATACTTACATTAGAATTCATAATAGTAGCAAAATTACAGTTAGGAAGCAGCAATGAAACAATTTTATGGTTTTAAAGGGTCTCAGTATTATCAAGGTTGAGAACTATTGTCCTAGGTGAATCTGGATCCTGTTGACAACAATATTAATCATCACACAAACCATGGTTCTATAACACCTTGATCAGATTTAGTCATAAATTATGATTTTTTAAATCTGAACTTAATTGTTTTACTGCTTACTTATCATATTAGTTTGTAACTATAGCCTGTGGGAAATATTTTTTTAACTTGCTCTTTTATGAGATAGAATCTTACTTTGTAGCCCAGGCTAGCCTTAAACTTGCACTCATTCTCTTGCCTCAACTTCCTAAGTGCTGGGATCATAGGCATGTACAACTATGTTCAGGTTAAAATACATGCTATTGTCCCCATTTTGAAAGCAAAAGAACATGAGAACAGATAGATGCCAAGATTTACAAAAGTTCATTCAACTAGAGCAAAGAAATTAAGATTCAAATCTAGACATATGGGTCTCCAAAGGACGAGTACCATGTGACATCACCATTGAAATCCACAGTGGATATAGTGCAATAAATATTACTAGTTCAAATTTACAAAGCTTCTCATGGCTCAAAACAGTCTAAAAAGACTTAAGAGAAAGCAGGAGAAAGAAAACATAGAAGTATTTGGTATATGGATAAATGTGGTTACACTTCAGAATTGTATCTGTAAAATGGGACAAATGGCTCCTAACATTATTTTAAAGCACAGTTCATACTAATTCCCTGTGGGAAGCATTTCCTCTAGAGTAAACCTTGCCTTCCCACCAGTGAACACAAAATTCACCCCATGATGGTGTTATAAAATTGTTGTGCAGACTCAAGGCTTCTGGAGGGTGATGATGTTAAGGGGGGCATTAGCAACTATCCCATCATGAGAAAATACATCTTTAACCTGGGTTCCAGGACCTTGTCTTTATGAGCCATGATGTTGATGCCATGGTGTGTGTGTGTGTGTGTGTGTGTGTGTGTGTGTGTGTGTGTGTGTGTGTGTGTGTGTGTGTGTGTGTGTGTGTGTGTGTGTGTGTGTGTTTGTTCTCCTGTTGTATACATATTTGTGTGCATTATGTGTGTGCACTGTGTATGTGCATGTATGTGTGTACATTGCATGTGTGTTGTGTGTGTACATTGTATGTGTGTACATTGTATTGTGTTGTGTGTGTTCTTGTATGTATATATGCATTATGTATCTGCACGTGTGTGCATGTATCTATGTGTATTGTGTGTGTGTGTTTTGTAGTGTGCATTGTGTGTGTGTGTGCATTGTGTGTGAACATTCAGGGTCAGCAATGCTGCTGAGCTGCTAAGTTGCTGTTGAAGGAAAACGAAGTCCTTCTCATCTTCCCACCATAGACCTTCACGGTTTCAAAGCAGGTTGCTGAAAATGAGTTTCTTCTCAAAACAGTTTTCTGAGAATAAAGCTGCTTGCAGCTGTGGGGTCAAACATATACACTCCTTTCACAGATGCCAGGAGGTGCTGTTCTGGGTGTGACTTGACAGGATATTTAGTGGAGGATCATTTTGTCTGAGAAGCCCCAGAAGAGAAGAATTATCTAATAAAAAAAAATTAAATTGCTCAAGGCTTTTAGTTTTTGGATTTTTCCCCTAGCAAAAATCACATGTAAATTGGCTTCGACTGTCTTTTTGCCCAAAATGTGAGTGTAATTTAGGGCTTGGAAGCCTTGGATCTCTGGGCGATTGGAAGAAGAAAAGTGCCAGCTTTGCCGCGCAGAGTTGGAGCCTATGTGGGGAGCTGGCAGCATCAGTCCACTTCTAGCCACACTCTGAGCACTGGGATCCAGGCACTGGGTGAGAAGGGCTTCGAGTCTTAGCTTTGGCTTTAAAGCAGTTATGGAAAGAATGGCTGGGAGACTCATGCAGATTTCTGGGTGATCCATGGAGTGTGCTGTAAAGCAGTCTCAGATGGGCGCTGACCATGTCTGTGGCCCTAGAGCTGGAGTTAGGCTTGTCAACTAAACATGTGAGCGGGGCTCTAGGATGACGTGTGAGGCTACCCCTGAGATGGAAGGCTGTTAATATGCATCACTACCTTAATGGAAGAAGGACTATCTCATCGGAGTGAGTGTTCAGGTCAGTGTCTTTACTTTCCCCAAAAACAGAGGACCCAGGGCAGAAGTGGTGGAAAACCTTAACCTCTTTAAGAACAGTGATGCTCAAAAATATGACACCCAAACAACACCGACAAGCACTGCATTCTCAAGGCCCAGTTAAGTGGAAGGCACTGTCTATTAGCTCTAGGCATTTCCAGTTGGTTTCCAACAGTACAGAAGCCTGCTGTGGCTCACGCTCCATCTGAACCTTCTTTTGCAGTGCGGGTGTGGGACGAACAGGAACCTTCATTGCCCTGGACAGGCTCTTGCAGCACATTCGAGATCATGAATTTGTGGACATCTTAGGACTGGTGTCAGAAATGAGATCATACCGGATGTCAATGGTACAGACAGAGGTAGGAACTGAAGCAATGTGTATGCTTAAATTTGCTCTTGACTGATAAGCACCCATTATCTACTTTATGTTTTAATAGAGTTGTCACAATGATTTTACATCCATCTTTCCCATTTTCTTGATGTGTATATTTCAAACTACCCCAGTTCAAAATAAATAGGTGTTAGCCTCTTAGAACGACATTGTATATATGGTGACTGTTCTTGTTTTGGCTTCATCTGCCTTTTAGGGATATGGAGCCTGGAGATGTCTCTACAACAGAGTAAAAACCGTTTTGAGCAGTATGGAGTTCACTGAAGGTCATAGTCAATCTGGATAAGTGTCACCAAAGGGAAACTGTAGGACAGATATGATTGATTTATGCTTGATATGACAGGCTGGTCAATAAGTTCACCATTTTTTTCCTCCATGTGACTCTTTGACTCTATCCCCTTTAGATGGTAACTCTTGGTTATAAGGTTTTAAGGTTTTAAAGTTTGGTTTTAAGGTTTGCTATTCCTTTAATGCAATGAATGGGTGGTGCACCCCAGAATTCCCCAGTGTTATTGACCAGTGTTCCCTCTGCCTCCTCTTCTCCCAAGTCCTTCCTTCTCTTGAAGCCTACTCAGCCAAGGCCAGCTCCAGGCAGCATTGGGCTGCCCACCACAACAGAGTGCATCTGTGTATGTGCAAAAACCCAAGTACAGTGGCTTCTTTATAATCCAAATCAGTGGTCTATAAGGTTACTCCGTGGCCTCAAGAACACAATAGCGCTTCCTGGAGGAGCCTGTGGGAGGAAAAAGCTTGTGGAATAGAACAAGGTCAATCAACCCTGACGTCTCTCTTACTGGATGTTTCTTTTTCATGTCTTGTTCTTCCTCCTGCAGCTTCTACCAAGCCCCACTAGGTGGCAGGACAACTCAAATAGCCTGGAGGGTAAAGGCAGAGTTTCCTCCAACATTGACTTTCTTAGCCTTGTTTGCTTTTCTTCTCCCCTATCTTTCCAGCTCCATCTGAGCTAGGCTTGGCAGAGCCATTCGAATGCATTTGTTGCCGAGTTGCACCCAGGTCACAGTAGGTTGGAGTCAGTTGGACATCTTAATGACAGCTAGGAAGCAGAGCCTGGACAGGATCTTGTCCCTTTCAGAGAAGCTTCTTGTTGCAATAGATGGCAACTCACAGCTAATCAGGTTACAGGAGACTGCTTAGTGATCAGCCCTAAAGGGGAAGTCTATGTCTCGCATCCCATCCTCCAGAGGCTCAGGGATTGTCTTGAAAGAGGGGGCAGAAAGATGACAAGAGCCAGAGGCAGTAGATAACGATAAGGAGGCATTGTTTTCTGCATACAGCAGAGCGGTCGAAGCTATGAACGTGCAGCAATAGCAACAACAGACTCCAAACCTGTACAAAATCCCAGCACAGAGGAGGAGGTGGGCAATGGGGGACTGTTGACAATGGGTGGGTGACTTGGGGGAGAGGCAGTCAGTTTTCTGCAGAGATGCAGGGCCTGGGAAGCTACCCACAATCCAGTAGATGTCCACACCCATGCACACGCAGGCAGCACTGATTTTTTTATACTCAGTGGGGAGAGGCGGGAAGGGAGGAAATGGGGGCTGGATCTGAGCCCGAACTTTTGGTTTTTAACTTCCATAAACACCCTAATATGCAATAAAATCATCTCCATTATATTATATGCAATATACATCTTACAAAACATATTCCTGTATGATATGTGTAAATCCCCAGACTTCAAAGGGCATCTTATTTTAAACATCTTGCTTGATGAATTATCCAACGTACCTCCTTGATTTAAACCTCTTTTAGCATTACAGGTGTTGACTCCAGACTGTTCCCTTTTGATTTTTCACAACGACAGAAGCTTAATTCACCTTCCAAAACTACCTTTGTAGACACGGTCCCTCCTGCCCACTCCCACTCCACTGTTTGTCTTCAGATCTGATAATCGGAGAAGCCAAACCAGCCTCCCGTGTGGGGCTTCCTACACGGCTAGGGAAATACTTTGTCTTCTCTCTTATTTTTGGCCCCAGTTCTAGGTGTCTGGCTTCCTTCTTTACAACTGCGTTTCTGGTTGACATCTACGTGAAAACAGTTGTTTGGAAGTCTGCTGTTCCTTTCCAGGAACTCGCTGGGAGATTCAAAGTAATGAAAGGGGCCCAGGGCTCTGGGTTTCCCTCCTTTCCAACTCCTGCAGCTTTGCCCCCGAGTTCCCTCAGCAGTCCACCATGGACACCTTCCACTTGTTTCTCTGTGCCTGTTTTATCCGTTACATCGAGAACATCTTGTTCTTACCATTTTTTACCTGTCTCTCTGTTCTTCCTGGTCCCGCCTGTATTTTTCAACGCGAGTCGATTTATCTCGCATTGTCCTTCGGCCCACTCACATCCAAACCCTGCTGCCTGATAATTTACTTGGTTAATAAGTAAAGAACAAAGAACAAAATGATTTTTCCTGCACTTGTCAATAAAGCATGCCAATCAAGAGGCCAAAATCCATCTCCAGCTGGGAGACGGTCTCTCTGTACAGACTCAACCCAGGAAATGAATAGCACATTCCTTCTCGTCTTTGGTTGTTAATTTTCTAACCTTCTCTGCACCTCCTACCTCCTTGATTCACCACACCATGCTCTTCCAGGAATAGCAAAAGTGACTAATTCAAGTAGCCATGTCCTTGGGGTCTCTCTGGAGATCAGTCCACTGGGTCCTGACCGTTTTCACTTGATTAGCCCATCGAAGGGCTTCTCCAACCTTGTGGAGAGATGGAACAGAGCCTGGGAGACCACCAGAGCCTCAGCTTTTGGACCTCACAAGTCATTTCACCGCTCCAGGCTCTCGTTTCTCATTTCTCGAGTGTGGCTGACAATTCTCATGCATTGTCATAAAGAATATTGAGATAAGATGACAGGATCCATAGCAGAGCTTTGAGTCCATGATATGCGACCTACAGATGGCTGGGACTCCCTCCATCCTCCCCCTGTGCGCTGTTCTATTCTTAGCAAACATTTCACTTGTTTTCCTTCCTATCGCCTCTCTGGAGCTCACTTAGGGTCTTGCTTTGAGCAGATTGTCCTCACTATGGGCAGCCTGGCTTTCTCTGGGTCTTACGGATTTGTTCATAAATAGTCTTTTACTTACTTTTTCCTATGGGTTATGGTTTTGTCATTGTTCTCAATAATTTTGCTTGGTTTTGAATTTTGGGTGTTTTTTAAATTAGTATATACTAATTATACATAATAATTAGATGAATGATACATAATGATGAGTTTCATCATGGCGTTTGTAGGCACGTATCTAATGTACTTTGATCACATTCATCTACATCCATTACTCTCTTGCCCCACTCCCACTGGGTCCCTCCCTTCCTGGCTACATTCGCATCTTTGTACATGTGTGTGTGTGTGTGTGTGTGTGTGTGTGTGTGTGTGTGTGTGTGTGATCCAATGAGTTTAATTAGAGTGTGTTTAAGAGCATGGGTGAAGGATTATTTACAGTAGCATAGCAACTCATCTGTGCCTGTACCATGGAGGAAAATGTGTTATGTTAGCTTTTGTTTTCGATACAAAGTTTGGCCAGTGGGCAGCCGTGGAGTGAGAGTCCAGACCGGAGCCCTGTCTATTCCCGGTGTTCACATAACACCAGAAATAATGGGGTGGTGTGTGAGGGCCTCTGTGGTGGCTCAGTATAGTGAGGGTTATCATGACACAAGGGAATGAGTGGCTCAGTGTAGTGAGGGTTATCATGACACTAGGGAATGGGTGGCTCAGTGGAGTGAGGGTTATCATGACACAAGGGAAGGTGTTTTCTCCAAAGCTAATTCAGAACACAGAGGTGAGGCTCCAACCTGTCAGGACTTGAAGCATTTGCTTTCATCTTTCATGTTAGGTCATTTACATGAGGCTGTTTAAAACACCATGGCCACCTTGGCTGCACTTTATTTACGGGTAATGTTTAATTGTACTACCTATAATGAAACAGCTGGAGTAAGGAAGGAGAAAACCCAGGAAATTAACCCATTTCATGGCACAGAGATAACTAACCTTAACGTCTGGGGGGATTTTATTGTAGCTTTCAGTCATGTATAGCTACTCATTTGTGCTCACGTGTTACATACATATGCGTGTATTTCTTTCACACTGGATTTTCACAAAGCATATTAATATACATACATTCACATATATCACAAACTACCCAAAGCTCTTAAATTCCATTTCAAAGATTAATGTTTCTTTAGGTTGCTTTCTTATTTGTAAAACATTACATTTGTCTGCATTTTCCCATTGTCTGTGTCTGTTTATAAAGTACATAATCTGTTGAGCATTAACTGTGGCTTTTGTCACTTTATACTATTATCTGTGTCCACACTATTATTAATTTTACCTCTCCAACAAAAAGAAGTGATAACTACCATAATAAGCTCAAAACTATCACTGAGTTTTCTTTTCCCCTTCTCTGGCTGTGCTGTTCATAGATGAAAACCACCATTTTAATTTACATTTTTTTCCTTGGACTTTACTTTTTTGAGATACAATCTCATTGTGCAGCCCTGGCTGACACCCAGCTCTTGTTCCTCTTGCCTCAGCCTCCCTCTCTACTGCTGAGATGCCTGGCATGAGCCACCCCCACCCAACTACTTGGCCACTATTTACATATGTCTTAATATTCCCCCTATTTGCTTCAAAAAAATCACTTGAAAAACACAAACTGGTACAAATTAGGATGAGAAGACAGTTTCTCCCTCCCAGTGATGTTTTGTTTAGTGGTTATTTATTTGTACATGCTCCTGCTTTGGAAGACCTTCCGACGAATCTAACTCTTTGGTACTGTGGAGTAACTTTGAAAGCATCTCCCTTCCAATATGCTTCTCCCTTTTACCATTTTCACCCTAGAGGGCCTTGAAATGTGTATTTGTACTTTTTCTATTTATAATTTTAGGATCTCCTTTTCTAATATAATCAGAAAGGAATTAACCCAGCTTTCCCTTTCCGTTTTCATTGTTCACCTTAGATTTCTAGAGTTCATGCCAATGTACAATGAGGTAGGAATTCTTTGGCTTCCATAAACCATCATGGTTGCCCATCATGGCCTTCATCATTGTGCGGTGATAATCTACACCACACAGTGACTGCACCTTAGAAAGCTGGGGCTGGGTACCTGAAATTTGCTGGGAGAGCAGTTTCCGGAGATGTTATCATCAGCAGAAGGAAAATGGCAACCACGTGAGGTGACACCTGTTCAGTGACACGATTGATAACCATCTCACTATGTCTATCTGATCACCACATTTTGTATCTTATCCAAATATTACTTGACATACCTCAATAAAGATAGAGAAAGACATGAAAGATGTTCTGCTGCCTGGGGCATCAGAGGCGATGGCCCAGTGGATACAGGACTTCCTGTACACACCTAAGGACCTGAGTTTGGGTCCCCAGCACCCACATTAAAAGCAGGGCATTAGGGCAGTAGCCTATATTCCTAGTGCCAGGAGGCAGAGACAGGAGGATCCTTGGAGCTTGCTGGCTGGCTGGTCTTGCCAAATCACCAAGCATCACAAAAATAAGGTGGAGAATGACAGAGGAAGATATTTGATGTTGACTTCTGACCTCCACACACGTTTACATGCATGCACACATAGGACATGTACAGAGGCATGCGCGCTCGTGTGCACACACACACACACACACACACACACACACACACACACACACACACACACACACACACGGAAGTGATGTTCTAGGATCTACCACTAATAAAATACCTTTAAAGTTCAGTCTCTTGGGTTTTCCAACTATAAAATTGTCTCTGTAAGGACATGAAAGTCGTTTCCTTTTGCACCAGAGGCTGCTTATCACCCGGTACGGGTGCCTCCTCTTCACTCCCGCCCCACGCTGAGGCCTGCCTCTGTTGTCTGTCCTAGGAGCAGTACATTTTTATCCATCAGTGTGTGCAGCTGATGTGGCTGAGGAAGAAGCAACAGTTCTGCATCAGTGATGTCATCTACGAGAACGTCAGCAAGTCCTAGTTCTGAATCCGGAGCGGTAAGTAGAGAAACTCTTAGCATAAAGGGACTTGTGTCGTCTCTAGAGACACTCTTAGCATAAAGGGACTTGTGTTAACTCTAGAGAAGCTCTTAGCATAAAAGGACTTGTGTAGACTCTGACTTCATGTCAGCCTTCATGTCTCTGAAGCACACAGGAGTGGCCACAGGAAGTCACAAATACCAATCGCATATTCTGTGTCACAAAGTTGGCTTGAAACTTCAGTGCCTCCTTGGGGTCACAGCAACAAAGGAAACCTCTGAAGTCCATGGTTATTTTTCCCACTACTCAGAACCTTTCATTATTCTAGTATTGGATTTCTCTCTGCCACTTAGAGACACTGCATTCCATCTCTACCCAGACAACTGTACAAATGTGCTGATTACAAGAGTTATAAGCTGGAGTGAGGACCCCCAAAAGAGTTTGAATTGGAGTGCATACACCCCAAAAGAAAAACAATATTGACCACAGAGCCTTGGGATTATGGGTCCTGAAAATTCCTTGGCTTCCCTTACTGTGTGAGCAGCTATTTGGGAGGGTCAATGAAACATTAGTGACATTTTCACCTCAAGGTCTGATGTGGAAATTTGAGAGATCTTGGCTGAAGTGACACTAAGCTTCCTTATTTATCCCAATAACAGAGCAGTATTTCTGACTATAGAATGGCACAGGAGCCATTGATAGAGTGAGTGGTGCAGTAGTATCACTAGAGAAATGCAGAATGATTGGAAGCATATGTGGTGAGAGAGAGAGAGAGAGCACCATCATGATATCTCTACATCCACCAAGAAAAGTTCAGAGTATCATGGGCCAACTGGAAGGATGAAGTCTGAGGAACCATAAGAGACAGATATAAGTGGAGAGAAAGTATTCAGAGCCCTGAAAAGGACAAGTCACAAAAACATACACAGATAAATTCAGGCCCCCACAAGTTGAGGGTTGAGTGTAATGAGAACCAGAGGTGGCATTGGGAGGCGGTTATTAAAACATCAAGGTGCTAACCATCTTTCTCTCATTCACAGGTGAGGACATGATACCTACCCATGCTCCCTTGCTTCCAGAGTTTTTGTAGGGGCCCTTTAGCTAAATCGAGTCCCTGCTGTGTAGTATGTGGCCAAGGAGGTGATTTACCTCCTAGAACTAAGACTTAGCCTTAAGGAGCTCATGGTATTTTTTGGAGTCTTCACTTCTGGACATTTGATGGACCCAATTCATTAGGATTCCAGAAAGGTCAAAGTGCTCCGCAAAGGGCAAGAAGCAAACATGTCCTGACACTTTAGTTGGCCCCTTGCTGCTTGGGCTGGGCTGATTTTTTTTAAGTGCAATAATTTTTGTATAATTGTGATTTTATCAGAACGTTGAATTGTTTTCTGCCCACACCATTGATCCATGCCACAGCCCTGGAAACATGATGACAGAGTTATACCTCACTATTGAAGAGGCATGGCCACACAGGAAGAAGTGATAAGTCTACTTTAAAGAAAACGAGCAAGTATGACCCACGCTGTAACCTTGAAGCTACAGGATCAGGAATGGGTAGGCAGAGGGCAAAGAGAGTGGTTCTAACCGCACACTCAGCCAGCTTATCGTTTCCTATTTCAAATATGAAAACCTCTGTTTTGAAGTAGAGTAGGAAAAATTATTTGTCTGACTTGTTGTAGTTCCCAGTGGGTTTCTTCCCTGGCCCTTTTGAACTAATGTCATGGTCCTTTTCGAACAGCCAGAGCTGATTCGGCAGTTTTGAGTCTGACTCCGAACTCCGCTGCTATCTAAGCAGTCTTGGTGCCTAGCCTTTGCATTTGTTTTTCTGTTGACCCGTGTATACACAAGAGCAGTTTCTCTAAGAGCTATAGGCTGTAAAAATGCACTTTCTTTCCCCACCCAGAAGAGCTGGGAATTCAGAAGTTATGTCAACGAACTCAGCATGCTAGGACAGTTACCGGACACCACCCCTTAAGAATATTGTTGAGCGAGCATCTGTATGGATTCCGACAGAAGGTTCTCTTGGTTTCTTTTCATTTCTGTTGTCAGATTCATTTTACTTGTGTAGCTAGTGGCATATTATTCTTTGGATTTTGTATGATTAAAGTACATGATTGTGTGTTGTGACCATGAATGTTGTCAAAATGAACACTGATGGCATTACGAGACTGCTACTTTGTGCCACTTCTTAAGAACAGAAGAGGTGATGTTTTACAAAAGTGGGTCTCTACCTGTGGTTCTCGACCTCTTTGGGGGTCAAACAGCCCTTTCGCTGGGGCTGCCTATCAGATTCCTGTATGTCAGATGTGCATTGCAATTTATAACAGTAGCAAGTTATAGTTATAAAGTAGCAATGAAATAATTTTATGGTTAGAGGCCACCACAACAAGAGGAACTATATTAAAGGGTTGTAGCGTTAGGAAGGTTGAAAACCATTCTTCTAGACACTGTGAGGTCAACCTTTGAACTGAAAGAGATACAGACGGCTGCTTCCCTGTAGCCATGTGGCTGTTGGGAGCCCACTTGTGTGTCTGGTATTTGCCCTCTACTCCAAGTTACTCACGACTTCCAATTATCTCTGCCCCCCCCCAGGATTTATTTCATTTTTAATTATTTATGACTCTCTATGTGGCTAGGTATTGGAATGAGTGAGTGCAGTACCCATGGAGTCCAGAAGAGGGTGTCGGATTCCCTGGCTCTGGAGTCCTAGTGTCTGACATGGGTGTTGGGAACCAAACTCAGGTTCTCCAAAATAGTACATGATTTTAGTTTGTTTTTGTTTCTTTCAGACAGGGTTTCTCTGTGTAGCTTTGAAGCCTATCCTGGCACTCGCTCTGGAGACCAGGCTGGCCTCGAACTCACAGACATCCGCCTGCCTCTGCCTCCTGAGTGCTGGGACTAAAGGCGTGCGCCACCTACGCCAGCTGTACATGCTCTTAACAACTGAGATACCTCTATAACCATCTTCCTGAAACTACATAAGGTCAGTTTAGTGTTTTGTCAGTGACCTTCATGACAGTAAAGGGTACCAAATGAACAGCTCACACCCCACTGACTCTTTTGACTGTAGAGTCCTGGACACAACAGACCTTGGCAAAGTCCTGAAAGAGCAAGCCTCCTTGCCTGGCAGGGGGAATGGCAGGGTACATCCGTACCCTGCAGACTGACAGGTGGGGCTTCATGGAGAAAGCCAGGTTGTTTTTTTTGTTTTGTTTTTTTTTTAAACCTACTTGGCTCTCCCTCCCAATGCCTTCCTGCTGCCCCCTCACTTTCTCACTCTGCTATCCCCACCCCCGCCTCCTGGGCATTTTAATAACACATCATTCCAGACTCCAAAATGAGCAAGGTTTGAAAAAGTTGTCAAGCACCTGTATGACATCCTTAGAACCTCACATATAAGCGGGTCAGAGGCAAATCTGTGTAACCACAGAAGAGCTGATGAGGAGATGTGGACCAGTCATGGCCACACAGATTCCATAGCCTGGACCATGACATCCCATGAAAGCAAGCACTTCATACAGTTTTCATGTTCTCCTTGAACACCCATTCACAGCAGGGATCTAGTGACCCCAGTCAGCTTCCTCCAAAGACAGATGAGGAAGGAGACCAGAGCTTGCATCGCAGACCCAGAGTTGAGCCTACAGGGAGGGTCACACAGAGGCAGGGATCCAGATTGTTCTTGCAGGCTCTGCTCTCATCATTCTGTTCCCTGGTGCCCTCAGGTTCTGCACTTCAAGGTGGGAAAGATGTCCAGCTAGCAAAAGAGTCAGCTTTTCCTTCCAGCTATGAATTTGTTGAATTTCAGTTAACGCACTGTAGGGTGCTGATAAGTGCACCCACCGTTCTTTAGCTATACCGGTTCTCTAAAGGGGCAAACCCAAAGATTCTCGGCATGGTTCTCTGGTGAACCCTGAGGCTACTCCACACAGCTCGGTATCTACCCAATTCCACCTCTAGCAGTCAGAAGTGAGGTCTCCAGGGGCTCTTCCGCATTGCTAGTTACGTTTTAAGAAATCATTCGAGTGGGGCTGTGTATTGAATAAGCACACAGACCGGCAAACACAGTTCACAGCAGCCTGGGCAACACACAGGAAGAGGTAGGGAGTGTAGAATTGCAAAGCATTTGTTCCTCAGTGCCGGTGCGATGGAACTCTGGGGCTGAGAAAGACAAGTCACAAAGTTCACAAATGACCACTAGGGTCTGACTTACAAACGTAATATTAACACTAGTCTATCCATTCGTCACTGACATTGTATGGTTATATTTAACCTGAAAGAAAACAAGAGCTGGAGCCTATTTTTTGACATCTCTCTAATCTGAAATCTTCATTTTCTCGTTGCGAAGGAAAACAATATTTCTCTTAAGCATTTACATGTCTTGTGAAATCTACTAAGATGCTTTCAAGGTAGGATTCTAGAATACCGCTCCATTCTTAAAGCTGCCCCACCCCCCCCCACACACACACAGGCAACCTATCTTTCAGAGTAGGCTATAGTGTCCACATGAAAAGCAAGAGCCAGAGGCTTTGTGTCTAAATTTTCTACAGGTCACATGATATCTGTTGGCTGGAGGACTGGCCTTTCGCCAAGGAGTTAAAATTACTGAGTCCGATCTCCGAGGGCAGAATTCCTTCTGCTCTCTAGCAAGGAGGCCTTCCTGTGCACCCCGGGGAATGTCTGATGCCATGTGCTTCAAACAGTTGGCCCCTTTCCCAGCTCACAGATCTCCAGCCTGGTGCTTGGCACGGGGCACGAAGTCAGGAACCATGCCCAGGACCAAATATGATATGTACCTTGGCCAAATGGGTTATGGAACATCAAAACATAACACAGGGAATTGCAGACACCCACCCCTGGTTTACAGCAGCCTCGTTTGGATGCCTGGGAGAAAAATTCCAGCCATAACATTTGTGACTACTGGCCACGAAGAAGAGAAGGATCTATGTTTTAATCAGTGGGGGTCTTATCACACGACAGCCTATCAATGTCTCCCTTATTCTCA